GGTGGATGGAGAAAGAGAAGTAATGTGGCAGGGAAGGGTTTTAAATAAGTTAAAGGAACAGTTCAACAATTTGGGAAATGTGTTTTCTTGACAAGAGTTAGATGAGAAAATCAATGCGTCATGTCTGTGTAGTAAATGTCAAGCTGGAGCCAGGCGGTGTTTGGCTAAGCTTAGCACACATACGGGAAGTAGGGGGAGGGGGCTACTCTAGGTTGCTTCAAAATTTAAATATCCACCTGTCAACGCCTTTAAAGGTAACATTTAACACTTTACATCTCATTTGTTTAATTCAAACACAAATTTTCCAAAATGTCGACTATTCCTTTAGGTAGTGAAGATGGGATGTAGTGGAAAGACAACAATGTGGTAGGTTGGGAGATAAGCAGGTGTGAGGGCAGATCAGTGGAAAGGTAGAAGAGAGAGAAAGGTTACATGTCACGTCCTGATTGGAGGGCTGGGGAGGGTTTGGTCCAATAGAGGAGCAGGTTGTTGGATGTGGGTGGTCTCTGGTCACCTTGGAGATGCTCAGAGGTCTGAGGGGTGGTGTGGCTCTATGTAAGTGCAGCCATGACAACAAAGGTTCTGAGGGTTCTCAAGGTTCCGTGCGAAGGTCGAAGATCAAAGGTCAGGGAGGAGTCACCAGCACCACAACCTGAACCCAACACTGTCTGGGTCCCCAATGGCTGTTCTTCTCTTGGTCTTCACAAACCTGTCTGAAACACACTAAACACATGCCAACGCGTACACACATACACACATACACACACACGAACGGAGATTTTTGAAGAAGTAAATACAACCCCTGTAGCACACAGACAACAAAACGTGAGCTCCTTGTCAAATGTTGATACACTGTCACTTTTCTTTCATGAACCTAAAAAAATAGAAAAAAGATTAAACAGTAATTGTGGCATGTGCAAAAGTCAGTAGTTAGCACCCCTCCTTCGTCAACTGTTAAGCTTTTATGACGTTACAAAAAAACTCAAAAACCTCTCCACTCTCAGTCTAAATTTAGATTGCAGAAGTTTGCAAATCACAAGATGAGTGACAGGAGTGTGGATGAAGGGTCGCCTCTGACGCTCATATCATTATTATACAATGCACACACAGTAAAAATACATTGATACTCTGGCCCTTTCACCTTGCCTGTGTATGTTACAGGGCACCTCCACTAGCAGCCACACTCCTGGGTGCCCTGGGGCTGAGCACGACGAGGAGAACGGAGCTGTCGTAATGCAGCGTCGCCATATTGGATACCTGACCCCATCCTCTCTGGATCCAGCTCTCCTGAAAAGGAGGAGACAGAAAAGTGAGCGCGTGGGGTTCATGTTGGGATCACCACCAAGTCCGAAAAGATGTTTTTTAAAATATTTTTTTTTGTTTTACAATACAGTTAAGAATACAGTTTACTGAGTACACTGCCAACCAGTCATGTCATGGTAAAAAATATCCTGAAACAAAAATACTACATTTAAAAACTACGTTTTCCATCTGCTACATCCCTTTTTGTTATTTGTGAATTGTGAACTCATCTGGTTTACAAGGAATTCCACTCCCCTCATGTGATAGCATTTCTATTTATCTTGTTGAGGCTGTCCTGGCTCCAGCCAGGTGTAGGGTTATTGGTTGGGATTTGTAAAGGACACATTCTTTGCATGTAACTTCAACTCTGAAAAATTATCCAATTATCCATTATGCTACAGTGTGGGGTCTAGGGTCTGGAGTCTGCCTTGTTGATCGTGTTAGGAAAAGGAGGGTTTTAGAATCGGGGGTTAGGGTTATGGGCGAGGATTAGAGATCCTACCTGACTCTATCTTGTTGAGGATTTTCCGAGCACACTGCACAAAAGCCTCTTCAACGTTCTCCCCTGTTAGAGCACTGGTCTCCAGGAACATCAGCTCTGACAGACACACCCACACACACACACACACACACACACACACACACACACACACACACACACACACACACACACACACACACACACACACACACACACACAGTGGTATCATCATATCACATAAGTCCTCATGCCACATATACCACAAATGGACACAAATCATGTGCAGAACTATCACTGTTATCATCACACATTACATAAAACCAAGTTCAATTGCAGATATCAGTACTTCACTCCTTTGTAATCTTAACAATACAACCATTTTATTTTGAGCAACACAACTTTTGGCATACAAACAAGAGAACTGCATTTCTTTCAAGAAAGCTATTTTAAGTCCTTTGTCTATCAATATGTCAAGGTGAAATGTATAAATTAAGGCTTTATACAGAAAGAACCAATCAATCAGTCCAATTTGAGCACAAAGTGTTGATCCTACCGTTCTCCTGAGCGAAGCGTGAAGCCTCCAGGAATGTGACCTCTCTGTCTGTATCGAGGTCCTTCTTGTTTCCACACAGAATGATGACGATGTTCTGACTGGCCAGCATCCTGGCATCACTCAACCATGTGGTCAGAGCGTTGTATGTCTCTCGACTTCAGTGCAGGCAGAAACGGAAAGACGAGAAACGGGTTAAATTTTAGAGAGAAGTGTAGGAGCTGACTAAAAAGAAATAATGAGGGACATGACACTGAGGTGATCTGAAATCATGTTCTGTGACTGGTTGTTTCACCTGGTGATATCATAGACGAGCAGGGCTCCTGCTGCTCCTCTGTAGTAACTTCTGGTCACAGACCTGACACACACAATTTAATAGACAAAGTCAAGACATATTATGTGGTGACTTACAAAAAAAGCTAAAAACTTTATGTCATCCTCTTTTTCAAAACATGAAATTAACAACGCCTATGCTACAGCAATAACTCCAGTGCAATACAGCGAATTAATGTACTTAGTTACACCTCTGTTTGACAAGTCACAATGTCTGCTGTGAAAGAAACCTATTCAATTTTTCTTTCAAATTGAACCTGAACATTTATTTGGTATTTTTCTCTACCTGAACCTTTCTTGTCCTGCAGTGTCCCAAATCTGCAGTTTGACCATTTTGTTGACCACGCTGATGATCTTGGAGCCAAATTCCACTCCAATCGTGTGGTTGGATTCATCCTTAACTGGAGGACAAAATAAAACATAGAATTTCCATTAATAGTAAATAATTGCAATGCATAGTGATGATCTGCAGTATACCTTTACAGTAAAAAAAATGCACTGCATAAGACAATAAATATAAATATCTCAACTTATAACCTCTCTGGAGACACATTGTTGTCTCTGAACTAAACCAAAAAAAGCAAATCCAATTTTCACATGCAAATACGTGTTGATTTCTCATAAACACTGAATGCACCAATTTTCACACATCTACAATGTGTACTGTGTTATACCCTTCAATGCAGTGCAAATTACTACTTAATTAGGATGTAAACATTTGTCTGAAGAACTATACTAATATAGTGCAGAGTTTTATTGATCTATATGTTATATATTCTGTTTATTGAAAGATGAAGCTAATGAAGTGGATCATTTCAGGACTTTGAAAGTTTTTCAATAACAATACATATGACATACTATTTCTAGGAGTTTTAGACAACACTACTTTACTGCACTAATACCAGAAGTCAGAAAAACTGTGAATCATGAATGATGTCCTGTGTATTTGTGACTTACATCTCTTCTCTATGAACTGGTGCAGCAGACAGGATTTGCCTGTTCCAGCATTCCCAATCACCAGGAATTTGAACAGGAAATCTGAGGAGGGAACAGACACACACACACATATATAGTCACAAGAAGATTTGTCTGATTTGTCTACTACTGCAATCATGACTGTCATAACTAGAATCAAACCAATACATGAGCTGGACAACATTTCCTTACCACAGTTATACTGGTGACAATATAATACCAGCTGATTAAGAAATTGCAGTACAGAATGATCTGTTTGTGATCATGTAGAAAGAGTAATAAATTGTTCATCTCAGGTGTTCTGCTCAATACATATCACACAATCTTTAATAATCATATTCAGAGTATCCTTAATAATAATCCTGATCATCTGTGGTAATATAAAAATAACTCATTCTGTGGGATGGAGGAATGTGAGTTTTCCCACGAATAAACACACTTAACACTGACATTAATGAATAGTGGTTTTGGGACTGTACATTAGTATCTGAGCTGCAGTTCAAAATCATGATCATCCTAATATGAAAGGTTCAGCTAATCCAACCTCACAAACCATGGTTATCATCTTAATAGCTATCACCTACATTCCTTGTATTTTGTGTGGTTTACAGGATGCACAGCTCAGATATTCATATCAGCTCCATCATCCTCAGGTGCCAGATTCCTGTCCACTCCGCTAACCTCTGTGGGGATTTGTGACCTTATAAAGTCGATACATTTTGTCTGTACAGCCAGAGTAAACGCAATTGTATAGCCTCTATGGATTTGCTTACGCTGACATGACATTTTTAAGGCCAGGAGCCTCCACCAGCGCCTCGGTTAGCCTGTCAGCTATCTGTTTACGGTGAGAAAAACCTCTCTCGGCACACCTGCCTCATCCCCATCTGTGGCTACAGGAAGATGTTAATGGTGGACACTTGTCAAAACACCCTCCTTACCGTAAGACTCCGACATCGCCAGTGTGGCGGTTTGACAGGTAAAGGTAAGGAAGGGAGTAGTAGTAGTTCACAGATTGATAGCTAGCTAAGTAAAGGAAAATAGTCCTGTTGATGATATCCGCGGATTCCAGCAGCTTTTCCCCTCCGACTTCCCGTACGTGCTTTGCCGTTTCAAAATAAAAGCAAGACTAACGGGCCAAATATTGTAAAGTCTCAAGACTGCCGCCGAGTGGCACTGTTAACCAGCTAACAGTTTTTGGATATGCCTCTTTCCATTCCACACAACAAATATTTATCATAAGAACAAGTTTAAATTAATATTTAAATTTGCCAAATAATATACCCATTGTATATAGAATATAAATGCCATTCGCAATTAAGACGTAACGACATAATATACAATTCCAAACCTACACTCCAGTCCAGAAGATGGCGGTTAAGTAACTAAACATTCGTTAACGGCCACAATACTTCACAAGAAGAAGGAAACCAACGAAGGAACGGCCGCTGAGCTACTCCAACAGCCGCTTTATTTAGCGAAATATGGCTGCTGTGCTCCCCGCCAGACCGCCCTGCGATAGTAACCCCGCTACTCCTGGAGCACAATCCATAAAGGTGACATTTATACTCCGTAACGACACGAATAACAGATAGCTGTGTGCCGGAGCTCTGCATGGTTGGTTGTTTAGCTAACAGCTAGCTGACTGTCCAACGGCTGCCTTCGTCTATGATTGACAATTGTTAGCCACATTAGCATCACTCCTTTGTTTTCAGTTGCGATGAATGAATAGTTAGTCTATTTGGGGTGGTTTGTGTTTCTCTGTTGCGTTTACAAACAGAAACCCGTATTCTTTCCCAAGGGTCCAAGTCAGAAATAGCGTAAGTGGTTTGACTGCAATTTTATGTAGCCGACTCCTTCCTTCTGCCAGTCACTACTTTGGCAACTGTGCATATAAACTCATGCTTTCTGTTTTGGTTGGACACAAATGGGTTGCCAAGGAATCACAGGTTGTATTTGCGTAATAAGTAGGTTACTTCCAATCACACCATCCAATCAACAAATGATGAGGCAATAGATTTGATATTGATGTAGGGTTAGTAGAAAAACATCCTCACCCACGCACAATTATAATTTTTATTCAGCCTCATCTTGTTCTAAAAGAGGCCTCCTTACAGACAGGACCTAAAGCTCCAAAACTAAACCCTTCTGAATCCAGTTTAACGATAACTAGACTAGATAACTGATAAATAGGAAGATGATTTTTAAGGTGCAGATCTGCTTTTTAGATGGGACAATGTGCTTGAAGTCTTAGTTCAAGATGAAGTGAAGTTGAGATCTAAGGATGTCCAAAAATAAATGTCACGGGGGTCAATCTGTGATTCCATGTCCATCCCTCTTTCAGTCATCCACTGATGCTGGTTGTAGGTCAGAAGCATGAATATGTTTTTAAAACTACCCTAAGCAGATGTTTGTGAAGAAATGCTGAAGAAAATTCCTGTGAACTTGCCCCATATGTGTAAATGAAAAAGTAGAGAGGACAGCATGCTGTATACTAGTTGTTAACATCACAATATATCATTATTATAAGTTAAAATTGCACTTTTTCTTTTCCACTGCAGGAGGATGTAATAGAGGAGGAGTCCAATGATGGCAGCCAGCCTCCTAAAAGACGTAGGATGGGTTCAGGGGACAGCTCTCGAAGCTGTGACACCTCTAGCCAAGATCTTGGGTAGGTTGGCTTGGTGCTTGGTGTGAAACAATAACTTGCAGAGTGCTAACTTAAAATGTTGTCCAACATTTTGTTTCTAACCAGTTAATTACCAATGGGTTCAAAAAATTTTTGTATTTATATGATTTTTGATTATGCTCTATCCTCAAAATTGCCATTGTCATCTTCTTTGGTGTGTTTGTTAAGAGTGTAAGACATGTTTAATCTACTTTTGTCTCAAGGGACTTTACAATTTGTACAGTGTACAACACCCTCTGTCCTTACACCCAAACACACACACCAACACACAGTATAGGAAATTAATATCAGTATAACAAAGTACAGGGTTATAATTTTCTTATTTCATGAATTTATACAAATGCAAACACACGTTGAACAGAAATATATTACAGTTTTAATGGTTTACTTTAACTTTTATGGATAAGAAAAATGAACTTGTATTTAGTTTAAACTAAGCTGTTGTTCTCCCACCACAACCTCCCAGACCAACATATTTCCCAGCAGAGAACCTGACAGAGTACAAGTGGCCGCCAGATGACACAGGAGAGTATTACATGCTGCAAGAGCAGGTCAGCGAGTATCTGGGAGTTACATCATTCAAGAGGAAGTATCCTGGTAAGAAAAATTTTATAATAGTCCTTAATCTGTTGATAATTTGCTGATCAAAAACTATAGGTTTATTTGATTATTATAGATTATGAGATTCGTGTTAAATCATATTTCTATTATATTTTAACATTGTGATATATGCTATATTAATATGCAAATGTGTACATTTACAGAAGACAGCCATTCCACTAATAATTCTTGGTCATTTACAAGTATAGGCACTCAGAAAGCTTCTGATGTTGTTTTTTGTCCCTCTGAAGATATGGAGAGGAGAGACTTGTCCCACAAAGAGAAACTTTACCTGCGTGAACAGAATGTCATCACTGAAACACAGTGCACTCTGGGTAGGAACCAAATCTCAGAACTCTAGTGAAGCGCACAGTTGTTTTACTGTAGTGCACAAAATCCTTTTGTGAGGAACCCTGTTGATGTGATCTGCTGTGAGTAGTATTTGTTCATGCAAGTGTTTTTTGTTTATTTCCAGGTCTGACAGCTTTGCGGAGTGATGAGGTGATAGATCTGATGATAAAGGAGTATCCCACCAAACACTCTGAGTATTCAGTCATACTGCAGGAGAGAGAGCGACAGAGGATAGCTAAAGAGTACTCTGTAAGTACAAAAACAACAGAAATATCCCGTTGAACTTAGGGCTGATGAATAATGAGGCATTATACTTTACTATAATTCACCATGTGGCTTTGTCCATTTTCCTTTCATAGCAAATGCAGCAGCAGAATCCTCAGAGGGTGGAGGCCAGTAAGGTTCCTGAGTACATTAAGAAGGCAGCAAAAAAAGCTGCAGAGTTCAACAGTAACTTCAACAGGGAGCGTATGGAGGAGAGGAGAGCTTACTTTGACCTCCAGACACATGTAAGTCCAACCTGTGATATGGATGATCTGTGATTTTACATGGATTCGTTTTACATAAGAGACACAGAATTTTTGAGCATTGCATTTTTTTTTTGTGCTCTCTTAGATCATCCAGGTGCCTCAGGGCAGGTTCAAGGTGCTGGCTCCAGAGCTGACCAGGACAGGGCCCTACCCTGTGGCTCTTATACCAGGACAATTTCAAGACTACTACAAAAGGTACAGTTACACACCTAGATAAAAGCTTTTGCCTGCAATTGGTCTATTTTTTCCTAAGTGAAATAGTGTTTTCTGAATAGGCTTATAGTNTCATACCACTTTACCACGCAAATCTTTCCATCCTCAGTGGTAACTTGTGCTGAGGTACCTCTTCCGTCCTTTTTCATTTTTTTGTCAGTTGGTAGCTTCTGCACTGCTGCAGCGACCCGATGCCTCATAACTGTACCAGTCATATACATCTGCTTCTTAACTAACAAAACTAAGTCCCTTTGTCCACATATGTGGACATCATGTTTAGCGGCATGGTAAATCATTACAGTTCCTAACTTTTGTAAAATTTTACTTCCATAACAAAGATTGAATACTTTTATACATATTTGAACAAGAATCAACCATGAAATTTGATTGAATTTTTTACCAGGGCAGGATTGGGATCGGGAGTGGCCATTTGAACATCTGGGTGTGTTGTCTGCTATCTAGAATCTAATCTGTAATGTGTTACACTCTTCTCCCACCACTAAGTGGCAGAATAATGTCCTCTAATGTGGTCACCAGGCCCTTGTTGAGAAAAAGTTAGTATTGTGGTCTAGAGAACCCAAAATGTGACGTCCACATATGTGGACGCCAGGTCCTAGGAGGTTAATATGCAAATGTGTACATTTACAGAAGACAGCCATTCCACTAATAATTCTTGGTCATTTACAAGTATAGGCACTCAGAAAGCTTCTGATGTTGTTTTTTGTCCCTCTGAAGATATGGAGAGGAGAGACTTGTCCCACAAAGAGAAACTTTACCTGCGTGAACAGAATGTCATCACTGAAACACAGTGCACTCTGGGTAGGAACCAAATCTCAGAACTCTAGTGAAGCGCACAGTTGTTTTACTGTAGTGCACAAAATCCTTTTGTGAGGAACCCTGTTGATGTGATCTGCTGTGAGTAGTATTTGTTCATGCAAGTGTTTTTTGTTTATTTCCAGGTCTGACAGCTTTGCGGAGTGATGAGGTGATAGATCTGATGATAAAGGAGTATCCCACCAAACACTCTGAGTATTCAGTCATACTGCAGGAGAGAGAGCGACAGAGGATAGCTAAAGAGTACTCTGTAAGTACAAAAACAACAGAAATATCCCGTTGAACTTAGGGCTGATGAATAATGAGGCATTATACTTTACTATAATTCACCATGTGGCTTTGTCCATTTTCCTTTCATAGCAAATGCAGCAGCAGAATCCTCAGAGGGTGGAGGCCAGTAAGGTTCCTGAGTACATTAAGAAGGCAGCAAAAAAAGCTGCAGAGTTCAACAGTAACTTCAACAGGGAGCGTATGGAGGAGAGGAGAGCTTACTTTGACCTCCAGACACATGTAAGTCCAACCTGTGATATGGATGATCTGTGATTTTACATGGATTCGTTTTACATAAGAGACACAGAATTTTTGAGCATTGCATTTTTTTTTTGTGCTCTCTTAGATCATCCAGGTGCCTCAGGGCAGGTTCAAGGTGCTGGCTCCAGAGCTGACCAGGACAGGGCCCTACCCTGTGGCTCTTATACCAGGACAATTTCAAGACTACTACAAAAGGTACAGTTACACACCTAGATAAAAGCTTTTGCCTGCAATTGGTCTATTTTTTCCTAAGTGAAATAGTGTTTTCTGAATAGGCTTATAGTATTGTATTATCTATTGTTCTACTGAATGTTTTGCCCTGATGCATCATTGTGTTGTGCATAACAGGTACTCTCCCAATGAGCTGCGATACCTGCCACTGAACACAGCTCTGTTTGAGCCTCCACTGGATCCAGAACTCCCTGCACTGGACTCAGAGCCCGACTCAGACGATGCCGAGGATGGCAAAGATGAGAAAAAGAACAAGAACTCATCTGTAAGACATTAGAGTGATACTCTAGTTGCCACTGGATGTGTGTTAGATCACTCCATCCATCATTAACATCAGCCATACTTGATTCATGTATCAACATTAAAATATTGTAATATACGTTACTCTGAAACCTCTTGTCCTTCTCTCTACAGGACAGTTCTTCAGGCAACACATCAGATGTGGAGAGCCAGGAGGGAGCAGGTGGACAGGGCCACAAGTCCAAGGCCAAAGACAGGACATCCACCCCGGGCAAAGACGGCAGCCTGCGCCACTCAGCCTCCCACAAAGCCACCCCAGGGTACAAGGTAGAGGACAAAACCACCTGAACTCTTCTCCAACAACAGCAGCAGCACTTTCTACCCCCTCCTCCTCTTTCTACTACTACCACTCCCTTACTCCATCCATCCCGCCACCCCTCCCTAGCTTTCTTCACTTTGTTCTCCGGCTTCTACAGTTTGTCAGCATTTCAGCTGGGACAACCTGGGCCACACACACACACACACACACACACACACACACACACACACACACACACACACACACACACACACACACATATATACAGTTATACACACACACTCACTGGGGGGTCCTGTCTTCAGTTTTTGTTTTTATGATTGCCACTTGGCTTTTTTTTCCCCCCTCTTCGTACCAGACTGTGAGCAATAAGAACATTTTAAAGGAACAGTTCACTTGTTTCTTTTTCACTGCACTTTCACCTTTTTTGTTTTTTCAGCGAAGACAAATTTGAACTTTAAAAGTTTTTCCTTTTGAGTGTCTTCAATATACCTCTTGTCTGTCCTCACTTGTCAAAAAAAGATACTTCCAAGACAAGTAAGTGGATGTTTTGGCTGCTAGTTTTGCTTTTTCATTTTTGAAAAGTCTTTTTGTTACTCTGATATAGAAAATATAAACCACATACATTTTGTGGTTGCTTTTAAAGTAGTTGATGTTAACACTAGAGAATTTTAACATTTATATCTGAAGTGTAGAATGCACTTAACCTTCATGTTTAAAGTGTGTATTGGTATAATAATATGTTTTGTTTATACACCATGTGATGTACTGTTAATCTTTCAATAAGTATCAGACAGCTGTTTGACATGGTCGTTACCTGTCCTTGAGAGATGAGGACTTGCTGACCTTGTTCACACTGTTGCTGAGCTGAGCTAGAAGTAGTCTGCATGCTATCTGTCTGGTTTTGGACTCTGCTGGACAAGCCCCACACCAGTGTACTTTTCTTTGACACCCAGTCATGGCATATCTTTGGTAGTCATGTTAAAGAAATGTTAAATAAATGGCACTGTAGATGGGCAAATAGTATTATATGAGTCTTGCTCCCTACAGCCCACTGTGCTGTGCACACACAATTCCAGCGCCTAAAAATATGCTGGTATATTACCATTATTAAGAGTATGATGGACCTGGGTAAGTCCAGTTGAGTTTGGCTCAGCTTTGTGGTGTGGGCATGGTCCTTTTCTAGTGTCTGTTTACGGGTTTCAGTGTGCTTAAGTTTGATTTAACTTGACCTTGAATTGACCTTTATTCATCAGATCATTTTGCATATGCTTTTGAGCCTACAGACATGGCATGGCATGTTGGTAGCCAGAAATAACTAGAATTACTCAGTAACCTAATATCCATGTACTGTATCAATATGTGATGAGTGCAAAGGACCTACAGTATAGATGAAACAACTTTAGGGCATTTCTGTATTTGAAAAAAATGCAATATACAGAATCCAGGTTTGATTCATGACTTTGTAACTCTGTTAAATTGGCCAGAGTAAAATGCCCATGGACTTAGAATGTGCCAGTCCTCTTTTCAGTGGTAGATTTTTTTTTAATTTATTTTCCCATTTTCAGAAGTTTCAAAAGTAGATGAGAGATCTACTTATTTCTAATGACTTTTATGTCTCCACAAAAGACACTACATGTGACAGGAAAAGTTTGAGGCAGTGATGCAGACTGCTAGCTGATTAACGTTACTTCGCTCTGGTCTGGCTACCATCTAGTATGTTCAGTGGTTAATGGTGACCTCATGATTGGTGAAAACTAAAGCTTTTGAGTAGTGTGGTGTTTCACAAACGGCTCATGAATAAAAACTAATTATGAACAACAAAGTTGGAATTAGATTGACTGATTGACTAATTGCCTTTACAGCAGTGTTTTTTCAGATGTGATACATGTTGCATGTTACATACATGTTAAATCTGTGTTGCACCATTAACATGACATGTTCAGGTTAATGATTTGAATTTGAATTGATATAAAAGCTTTGGCTCCACCTTTCTGTAGCTTATACATAGACGGGACATTATGGAGATTAAAAAATTGGTATTCACTGTTTGATGTAGTTTCAAACAGTAATATGACATTAATTACATAAACATCATGTGCAGCCGATTATACTTTTTGCAATTGAATCAGTGAATCCGACAGCTAAGAAGTCTAGAAAAGTCTAGCCAAGAATGTGTGGTGCTAGTTTGATTCTCAGAAGGAGCTCAGAAGGTTTCATTATTTTGTGTGTCAGACATTGAATTTGAGAGCCATGATTTTCAGTACAGTCGTAAGGTTGTGACGTGTTCAGTTCCACTGGATACTGTACATTCAGTCCAGGCAGGTGTGAGGAAGCTGTGAGGCACAGCTAACACGTTAATATTTGTAGCAATGGCTACAAACCTCATCACTTACATTATAGAAATCTCTTGACAGCAGAGACATAATCACTTAGATGTCAATAAAAGTAAAGCAAGATATTTATACCATTTGATCCACTGATCTAAAATCAGTGGAGGCTAGCTGTGGATGAATGTGTTGTCAGCTAGTATAAGGTTCACACTTAACTGTCCCTCTGTACTGTGTCTGAAATTATATGTAATGTTAAAAGTTTTGTTCTCTTTTCTGTGCATAAAATACAGTATTTCATGTCCAAATTTAGTTAATTTAGAATAAAACTTCAAACTAGCTGGATTCAGCCTCATGAATTGCTCCTTTTCAGTTTTACTGTCTGGATGTTTCCAATGAAGAGATGTTTTGACTGTGCAGGCATGAAGCAGACTTATTGGACTTAATAAAGCGTAGGCTGGGCCCTGCTAGTAATGTAAGCGGCTGTACCCACAACCACATTATCAGTTCGGGATAGCAGTATGGACAAAGCTTTTACTAATGATTTCAGTAATCCTAGCCAGGCCAAATCTATGAACAGCTGAATTTTCAGGTGAATCGGTGGTGAAATATTCATTATATTCACATATGCATAGTGAATATATATGTAAATGTGCATGAGCAGTTCAGGGGACTGTGTCCAGCTCGTCCTTTTTCTTACTTCCCTTTCCTGCTGCTGTCTTTCTCTTTGTTTAGTTTTCTCCTTTGTTTCTTGGATATCATCAGTACCAAATTGTGTCCTTTATTGAACCATAGTTTTGTACCTTTGGCTCCTTTCCAATCAGGGGACATTTTAATGAAGGATGTCTCACCATATCTTGAGGCATTAGAGGTAACTGGACATGATGCAGGCTAATCAGGCTAAACACATGCTTTGTCCATGAAAAACAGAAAAACAAAGTGAATTTTGTCAGTTGACAACAGATTTTGTACATTTTAGGGATACTGTTGAATCCTGTAGGCATCTAACGATTATTCATATCCATAGTTTGCAGGCCTTGATTTTTGAACCACGGTTCTAGCCTTCTAGCCACATGTGTTATAGTGTTAGCTGTGATATAAAAAAATAGTTTTGTTATATTATTCAACGTTGCTGACTCGTTAACAGTTTGAGTCACAATGTTTGTAATATCATAATATAATGTCACTAATAACCATCCATTCATATTTTATGCTAGTGATCCAAAGGTGTTCTGTGTCTTCCAATAGAGACATTCAAATTTTAAACAGCTCCTGTGTGACATCCTGATTTAAATGTCCCAGAGTCTCTTTACCTTCCTGCTCTGGTTCTTACCTTTCTGTCCTCTGTGACACTCAGTACATTCAATAGAAGGCAACTCTTCAGATATCCATATTTATACAACACAGTTAAAGAAGGGAAATTAAGTTTTCAAACTCAAAGAAGAGGGAGAAGTGGCGCTTGTCTCTGACAGCATATTGGTTCATATTGAGAAGTGATGAATATTTGTCAAATAGCTTTGAACATTCTTATATAATAATAGAAGATGTTTTTTCAAGCACTGCAGGATCCTTAAAGTCAGTCTCCTATAAAGTTGATCAATGGGGAAAAAAAATCTACTGTATATTTTAAATGCCACATGCTTGCAAGGTCTGTTAGACATGATACACCTTTCTTGTATTTGTACCCTGGGATAGATTTCAGTGCCATCAAACTTAGTAGGAAGGCAGCTTTGATACTAGATGATTGATTTTTGAGTTTAAAGTGAATAAATCAGTCAAGATGAATTCATATAGTGTGCCCCGAAAGAGGTTTTTTTGTTTATTCTCCAAACATTTGTTGAACTACTTTGTTGTCCATAACTACAGGATACCCATGTATGATTGGTTTTTATAGCATTATTCTGCCCTTGCAGCCTAAGGTCATTCCCAATGCTATATGTGGCATTTGCCAGAAGGGTAAAGAGGCCAACAAGAAAGGCAAGCCAGAGGCTCTCATTCACTGCTCCCAATGTGATAACAGTGGTAAGTTCACACGCTTAATTTTAAAGGACAGTTCCCTGTTTTTTGTTGTGATGTCTTCTTTTTTTTAACTTTGTGGTCAAGTAAATATCTCCAGAATCCAGAATTTTCTACACAACAGCAGCAGAATTGAACCACTTCTAATGATATTGATATTTTGTGCCAAATATGCTAAGTTAGAATCACGGGTGGTGTTTAAGTACATTTTATATTTTCAGCCAAATGTTTATCCTGCCTTGTTGTATTTATATTTAGATGGTAAAGTGTGGAATTTCAGTTAATGTTCATAATTCCCTTGCAAACACATATGTGGTTCAAACAGATGTCAATACAGGGAAATTTTAGTGTTTTATTTATTAGACAAACATAAAATATTTCAAATACTTTACAGTTAAAAAATATTTGAATTCCAAATGTTGCTCTTTCGTTGTAATGATCTTGAGGTTTTCTGATGCAACAAGACGGTGTATTCACGTGTGTGCATGTGGATGGGTGGGCCTGTTCACATTATGTCTGTTTTTGTGTCTTCCTGTTTGCTTGTGTGTGTGTGTGTGCATGTGTTTTATATTTATTTCTGTCCTTGGATATGTGTGCGTCTCTGGTTCTGTGCATGCATGTTTGCTTCTGTGCACGTGTCTCCATGTCTGTAATCTTTAGGCCACCCGTCCTGCTTGGACATGAGTGCGGAGCTGGTGAGTGTAATCCAGACGTACCGTTGGCAGTGTATGGAGTGTAAGACCTGCACCGTGTGCCAGCAGCCCCACCACGAGGACGAGATGATGTTCTGTGACAAATGTGATAGAGGATACCACACATTCTGCGTGGGCATGGACTCCATTCCTACTGGTGAGTGGATGGACATAGATACAGTACATGGTATGTGGAGGGTGGATTGATGGGCAGACAGATAGACAACCACTTACTTGACTTAAACTACAGTCCTGATCAACATTGCCCTGGGTGACTGGGCAACAAACACTATGAGAGAAAAAAAAAACAGACTTGAACACATACTTTCCATTTTTATAGTCATACATTTAATTTTCTTGCTTTAAAAAAAAAAGAGTGTATTTCTAGTTGTCTTTTTCAAAGTAATTAATTCAGTCTCTCTGTCTCCTCAGGGCTTTGGGTATGCGAAGTGTGCGACAAAGATTTCACCACACCCAAGAAGAAGGGAGGAGCCAAAACACCTAAGAAGTCAAAGTCAGCTCAAAAATGAGCAACAGCATCTTTAACCACAGTACCTTTACCGAATTGTACACAAATGCACTGTCATTAGTTCATTTCCAGAAGCTGTAACATTTCAAACGACCAGGTCATTGTTTTTCTCAAAGTCTGTCTTATAGAATGTTTTAAAGGCCCAGATTGTGATCCAAAAATAAACAAAGGTTTTAGCCCTCCTACCAAATACCAACAATCAAACATAAGATCTCAACCTGCTGTTACTCTTAACTGACTGACTGGTCTTTTAGAGTTTAACACTAGAAAACAAACATTAATATTTTCTGTGAAAGCTCTGACAACATCAGTAAGGCAGGCCTATAATTTGAATTCTTATTTCCCATCTTCAAGCCAAACTAAAATAATGTATGTGGTTATACTTCAAATGTATGTGCTTATAAAGCCCAGATTGGGCATTAGCTTTAGCATAGCAGCTCTGTTCTGTCATGTTAGAGACTGACTGACTGACTAAACCTCAAACACCATACAGAAATAATATTAACAGCTAAACTGTAAATCAAATCCATCCAGATATACTGCACTAAACTGTGAACCACTAACAGTATCAGTGTGTTCCTACTTCATTAAACCAATGAATCCTGTAGTTTCTGAACATTCCTGCAGTGATAAATGTTTGATGGGAAATTGTTTCAGTTGAACAAATGGTGCTTTTGATCTTGTACTACTGAAACAATCAGGGTTTCAAACCATTTTTGTATGTTTTTGTATCTTATAAACTACCGTTTAATAAACTTTATTTAATGAGGCAGGCCAGTAAAGAGCAGTCTTATTTAAACAAAGTCTTGTCTAACATAATGACATGGTGCTTGTGATCCTGTGTAATGAAATGTAATAGACACTGGCTGTGGTAGACCTCACGGCTGCTGCAGTTTTCAGGTATTTATGTGTGAGTCTTGTTTATCAAAACAGAGTTTCTCAACCCTTCACTGTTGATAATTGTACAAAAATGTAACCACTCATTGTAAGTACGTAGAATTGTAATCGAATTGGCATCCATCATTTATGATTATTATTATTGATGTTTTTGCAATCACCTTAAAATAAGTTGTTTTTGTTATTTTTTTTATTTGATCTATTTTGTATTGTCCTGCAATGAGCAGGTTGTTTAAGGAATATTTGTTGCTAATAATGTCATAGTCACTGAATTCTGAAGTGTCTTGTTTTTCAATAAAAGCTACTTAACAAAAGAGTCATTCTTTTGTAACTTGTGTACCATAATAAATGAAATCCGTCAGTTTAATTACTGAATGTATGTGTTCACTTTACCATTGTTTTTATGCACTTTTTTCTCTTTTAAAAAAAAATAAGAGGGATAGGAGGCTTTACATATGTAACATCTTAAAACTTTCATACTGTCACCATTACAAGATGGACTGACTGCTGTGTTTGAGCCTTTAATGTTCCATGAATGTATGAGTGAATAACAGGAAATTGAAAGGTATTTGAATTTTTATTGTCACCCAAATTATGGTTTTGATGCCATCAAGTTTTGATGCATTCAGTTGTGCAGATAACTGACTTCATCTTACAAACAACTTATTATTACTTGTCTTGTAAATCTGTTTACCTGCAGTCCAGCAATCTGCAAATCTGGATTATTCAATTATTTGGTTTCTGCTTTTGATATATTTTATATTATCCTTTCAAATCAGACAGAATTACCCAGTGCTGTAAGGTCACATATAATTCTGGTCCTGATGAAAGCTTATGTAATGCTGGCCTCACTGACAGCGCCTGCTTTATTAGAAACATCCTGTGGGGGCGCTCTGACACAGAGTACGACTGAACACGCGGGCGAGCAGACAGTAAAAGAAGAGGCTGCCATATTGCAGTGATACAGCGACTTTACCTGGCAGAAAGCTGAACACTGTTGTCTATCCGTAACAAAGATGCTCTCTGCGCAGACTTTTGGAGACTCTGGGAAGATGAAAGAATATCATTATACCGGTCCGGTAGAGCACCGGTTCTCACCGTACGCTTTCAACGGAGGGTGAGTTTGATTTTCCAACTGCTGGCTAGCTAGCCTACTAGCTAACATTTACCTCCAGTTGGACTGTGCTAATGAGCTAGCCAACTTAGCACACGGAAACAAAACAAAGGTAACGCTAATGAAAAGTTTGAGAACAGAGCAGGGCTTGTTAGTCCACAACACGAGCTATTCCCATAATAACTTACTGGGAAGTTAACATTAATGGCTATGGATGTATAAAAGGAAGGATTAGTTAACTAGTACCACAGTTTCAGTTTCGTATCAGTAGCTTAGCTTCCGTTAGCAAGTGTCAGTGACACCAGTGCACTTTCCTGTTTAGTGACGGTGTTTATAAGATGAATTAACTAGTCTGTGTTGTGTCATTTATTCGTTATTATTTTCAGAACTGTACTAGCTGTTGCCGGGGAAGACTTCGCCATCGTAGCCTCAGACACCAGGCTGAGTGAAGGCTACTCAATCCACAGCCGGGACTCACCAAAATGCTACAAGCTGTAAGTGTGCACAGTCACCTCCCTCCCTACTTTCAATGAAGGGCAGCAGAATTAACAATAATAAGACACCATATCATCACTATATCATCACTAATTAATCTGTCACGGGTCCTCCTGTCAATTTCTTGAAGTCACTGCAGCGTCAGTACTCTTGTAAAATGGACAGTGCCGTTTCCCTGTGACTATTAATGCTGTACTAGCTCCTCGGTTACAGGCCCGACGGTATTGGGGATAAAAATCACCCGTCAGTGCCACATGAATGACTGAAGGATATACTGTTCTTACTGTGTCTGTTGTGCTTGTTTCTCACCTTACAGGACAGACACAACCGTCATTGGATGCAGCGGTTTCCATGGCGACTGCCTGACTCTGACCAAAATCATTGATGCCAGATTAAAGGTGAGCTGATTCAGGCAGTTTCGTTCTCTCATTAGTCTCATCCTTAAAAAAAAAAGTATATTTCTGCTGATTCTGCTTGCCCCTGCCCAGCACAGTCTGTTTATCTCAGTGCTGTTTACGACAGAATTCACAATAGTCTGATTTTTTATGTGTCTTGTTTGCTTTTAATGATGACAGTTGTATTTTTTTCAGTTTGAATTATTCTAAAAATCTCTTACAAGAAACTTTGAGTGACTGTGTATACATTATGGATATTTGTTTTGCAAGGTCTCCTCTAAATTGCACAAACACCTTAAATAGTCTCCAGTGTCACCACAGTTAATTAACAATAAGGATGTCATCTTGGTTCTTTTCTTCTCTTGTTCCGTCTTTACTCTCAGATGTACAAACATTCAAACAACAAGACAATGACCAGCGGAGCCATCGCAGCCATGTTGTCTACCATCCTATATAGCAGGAGGTTCTTCCCCTACTACGTCTACAACATCATTGGAGGACTGGATGAAGAGGGTATGTACTTAAATTCATCAGCTAATAAGATTAGAATTTTTTTTTTGTAAGTTTGTCCAGGATGCTGTTACATGATGACATTCTGATCTGCTGTAATTGCAGGTGACTGAAAGTATTATGCTGTTAAAGTCTGTGGTTTGCTTATATTGTGCATCATTGTATCAAAGTTATATTCTATTATCTTTGCTGCGTCTAAGTTGGAAACTGTAAAGCTTTTACTATCTTATTGTAATAAGTGTTATTTTGTCATATTTAATATCTAATGTAGGCAAGGGAGCAGTGTACAGTTTTGACCCAGTGGGCTCTTACCAGAGAGACACCTACAAGGCTGGAGGATCGGCAAGTGCCATGCTGCAGCCATTGCTTGACAACCAGGTACATAACACACATGCATACTAACTAAGTATTCAGACAAACAAATGTACAGTGCTCCTGTCAAGTTTCCTTACAGTGGACGAGTTATGTTCATGTTTGTCTCTTTCCAACACGTTCTGCCCCCAGATTGGTTTTAAGAACATGGAGGGTGTGCAGCATGTCCCTCTGACTCAGGACAAGGCGGTTCAGCTGGTCAAAGATGTCTTCATCTCAGCTGCAGAGAGAGATGTCTACACCGGAGATGCCCTTCGGGTTTGCGTCATCACTAAGGAGGGCATTAATGAGCAGACTGTACCTTTGAGGAAAGACTGAAGAGTAAAAATGATGTTTCCATTTGCTTTCTTCTTTGGTCTGTTCTTTCCACATTCACACTGTTGGTTTGGCCCTTTTACATCAAGTTTCTTAAAACAGGAGTTTTGATCCAGAGGTTATTCAGGTGGCCTCTTATGTGAGGCTTTTGCTGGGGAGCTGATTTTCCCAGTTGACTGTCTACATTTATTTCAAATGTATGCTCTTCTCCTGCTTTCCACAATTACTCCCTTCATATTTTCATTATTCACACATCCTTGTTTTTGTGGATTGCCAACCTGATTCTAGATCAGCACTCCTGTTCTGAGAAGCAAGTTCTTCCCTCACCCATGCCTAGATTCTGCATCTGTTTGGATTTTTCATTATGTTTTGGAAGGATACATACCCTGCTATTCTTTTTACATTCTTAATAAATGTAAAGAACTGAAAAATCTGCTGCTCTTGTTCATGTGCATGTTTTCACACTGGTACACACTACCTCAGATGTACTTACAATGTTGTGCTTAGTTTTTCCCTAATTAAGAAAAAGATAATAGAAAATGAAAATCGCTGCCACCAGAGGTAAAAAGGCAAAGAGTGTGTTTATAGATTGGGTGGCAGCCACCAGTACTAAGACTAATAAATTAAAATGCAGAAGAAAAGTGTTTAGTAAATAATTTTTAGTGAACTGCAGCATTGCTTCTTACATTTGCAGGACAGTAATGTACATTTTTAACGTTTTGTACTATCAAGTTTAGATATCTTATATCTTGTTTTAATTTAATTTGGTCATCAGCCTTTTTTTTTTTTTCTACGGTGGCCCTGTGGGCCAAACATGAGGGCGAGGGCGGGTATAGTCACTGAAACTGGGGGTCGCTTGGGTTTAGCAGTTTTTAGGGGATAGCAGTTGTGTGAATCCCGCGCCCTCACTGGCAGAACGGGACTTGTGAGTGCAGTGACCGGGACGTCATGCTGATGGTCAGTAAAATATCCAAACCATAAGCTGGCTGCTAGTGCTACAGTGTCTGGTTTGCTATTTCTACACGTTAAACGCAGAAAATGCAAAATGTGTGGGTGTGGCAGCTTCGGAGTTAAATGAAACCTTCGACAGACCTGCAGTTACAGCAGTAAAATCATTGTCCTCCAGTGGTACCATATGTATTTTAATAAATTACCAAATTATGCAAAGTGTTAAGCTTGTTCTGCTGCTATTATTCTTCATTGCAAAACGTAAATAATTATTTTCATCTGTAGCATTTAATTTCATTATTACATTTATATCGTTAAGTTTCAAAATGGAGTCATTGCTGTTATTGTTACAATTAGATTGCAATGGCTATCATTAAACTAAATTATAGGGATGATGTACACATCTTTGGGGCATGCCTATCATGCACAGTCAGACGCACGTATAAATGAGACCACCGGGGGGCGCTGTTGGACCAGATGAAACTTGAAGCCCCAAGTCGCCACATCATCAGCTAGAAGAGTTAAATTACAGGTCTCAGATGGAAACAAATTCAGATGTGTACAATTGTACATAGAGGCTCGTTGGTCTAGGGGTATGATTCTCGCTTAGGGTGCGAGAGGTCCCGGGTTCAAATCCCGGACGAGCCCTTCTTTTTAACCTGTGGGTCACACAACTGAGAAACTGTTGTACTGATAATTTTTCAGGCAAAGCAAAAGACTATGGACTACAAAACCTGCACCAAAATGTACTATATATTATTGAGTTAACCAGTTGGAATACATGCAGATGAAAAAAGTGCAGAAAAGCACTGGCAATAAGCTAAATCCAAATTTTTATATTGAGTGGTGTCCAGTCAATTGTTTGGAATTTTATCCGGTCCTGAAATGACAGAACAAAACACTAGGCTGTTGACTAATCTTGCAACTACAACATAATGAGTTGTGTTGAGAGCGTGTTGTTTACATATATGAGATGTGGGGCCCTAAGATGCCACATCACCAATTTGGATTATTTAATTGATGGTAGAGAGAGACAGATGTTTATGAAATTATGACATCTGGCTCGTTGGTCTAGGGGTATGATTCTCGCTTTGGGTGCGAGAGGTCCCGGGTTCAAATCCCGGACGAGCCCTTATTTCTTGACTCCTGGGGTCACAGAAATTTGAATAATCTGAGCCTTTTCGTAGGCTGTTTTAACTGGGTCTTAGAAATGTTCTTGCCTTGTCTGTACTGAACCTCCCTGAGACGCCTCATTAACAAGATAAAAAAAAAAGAAGAAAAAAACATTTTCATGTAAATCGAAAAACACACATTTTAACACACATACACTTATAATAGCCTGTCTCAAATATGTACAGATAGGATCAAACAACAGGCTGATGTGTGATAACATTGTCTTGTGAAAAGGTTTAAAAGAACTTCATGAAATCCTTGAGTGGTTGATTATGTGTTTTGAATGTGATGCCAACAACATTGTGCAGTAGTGTGAATGTTTCGACAGCAGACCATGGAATTTTACACATTATTTCAGTTCTGAACTTTGTTTTAAATTGTTAAAATGGTAAATGGACTTGCACATATATAGCGCTTTTCTAGTCTTACTGACCACTCAAAGTGCATTATAATACTTGCCACATTCACCCATTCACTTACACATTCATGTATCTTACTCATACACTGATGGAATGGCCCAGGGCGGCAGAGGGACAGTGCTTCTGTGATTGTGTCTTGCTTTTGGGTTGTCTGTTGGTCTTTGGTGATTAGACCCCATCATGATGTCATCATATTTGAAAGGGGGTGAGGCTGTGCGAAGTATAGGCAACTCCCCGGGGTCAAGACACTGGTCGTGGTGATGGGGTTGGGGATGGGAAGAAAGGAATGCTGGAGATCTGGGTGTGATGAGGAGTGGACTGAAACAACAGCTGACAGAAGAGGAGAGAACAGATTTGACAGCAGTTTGACAGCAACAACATTATTGGCTGGTTGAGATCATGGTGAAATCTGATTGGTTACCAGAAACAATAACAACTGCCTGTCCATCTGTGCTATCCACATGGGACATGAGAACTGTGATGGAAATCAAAGAACCAACTTTCCTGCCACCTGAGTATGGCGGCTCACACATTTAGTACATGTCCTTCTTGAGAGAAATTCTTCTTTTTATTATGTTTGTTTATAGAGAATTATAGAGACTGATCATTTCAACTGCGTGACATTCGCCTCACTCATGCCCAAATCAGAGCCATGGTGATGTGACATTTCTGGGTGAGAGAGGCAGATGAAAATCAAAAATGTAAGTGCAGAAACTTTTTTTTCTGATGAGCAATTTAAGTCCAAAACCACAAGAGAGATCCTGGAAATTTGAAGTGAACATAGTTGGTTTGATGCGGTTTAATTTTGTTTGTTAATTTGCTGTAGCGCACCCTGAAGCAAAAATCTGCCAAAAGTTCTGAGGTCTGTCTCATTTTCATGTTCCATGTGTCCTCCACACAAATTAACACTGCATTTGAAAGAACTTTTCAGGGCCAGAATGGGGAAGGGAAATGATTACAGTAACCAACAACTCTTAAAATGTACACAACCTATGGGCATGTGAGTATTGTTTTAAGACACGCATGAAATAAATGTTACTCTATTCTTTAATATGATGGCTTGTGCATCTCACCAAGAGGCCAGTGACACTAGAAATGAATGCAGCTGACTGATAAGTAATGTGACCTCACAAGAGATTCCAGTGTTAGAAATTTCACTTTGATTAGTTAATGACTTGACTGATATTATATATTCCAACAGGGCTACTTTTAAATGTATGTTTGGATAACATGGATTGAAGGAATAAAATCCACAGCAGTTGCACCACCTGAAACCAGGAAAATATTTTCAAACACAGACTCCACCCTCCTTGTTTAGCTGGAGGAAACAACAACACATAAACAGTTATGATGTTTTATTTCTTTTTATTAACTCAAGATAATCAACAATCGTAAGAACTGTTTACTCAGCAATTTCTTTAATAATCAAAGACTCTCACACATAAACACAGACACAGGCAGTGTCCTCAGGCATAGTACTGAAGGTTGGCCTTCTTCTTGGCCTGGACCTCCAGGATTCCCTCCATGTAGTCCTCATGGTTCAGCTCTGTGGCTCCACGACGCAGTGCGATCATACCGGCCTCCACACACACAGCTTTGCACTGGGCTCCGTTGAAGTCGTCGGTGCAGCGGGCTAGCTCCTCGTAGTTGACGTCAGGACTGACGTTCATCTTGCGGGAGTGAATCTGCATGATGCGAGCTCTGGCCTCTTCATTTGGCATGGGGAACTCAATCTTCCTGTCCAGACGACCTGAACGGAGCAGTGCAGGGTCCAAGATGTCCACTCTGTTGGTGGCAGCAATCACCTGAAAAATATGCACATTATTACTGTAGCAACGTTGTAGTCATCATACTGTAGATCTAAAGCTAGAAGGTACTGTGGTGAAGATGAAGACAAGAAAGTAGCGCAGGAAGTCAGTGTTCAACTTTTTTTTTTTTTTTTAATTATTATAAACTTTAGGAAAATTATGATTTCAGTTTTGTATATTTACTAATCAATAAATTCCCCAAATTTATTATTTTCGTTTGGGAAAATGTGCAAATCTTTGTATTATTTTATTTTGTACTGTCCCGTGGCCATGTTTCATATTTAAATTTTCCGTATTTACCTTTGTATTCTTTATCTACGTACTTATGCATTTCATATTTATTTTGTGTGCATTTAGAATAAGAAATCTGCCACCTGAACATTGTGAAGTAGTCAGTTCAATTTTGCTATAATTTTGAATGATACACGTCCTCTTTGTTTGGCAGTTTCCACAGATGAAAGGACACTGAATATAGACTAGATTTTAGATTACATATATACAAGAAGGATGCAAAAGTCCCAAATGCAAAACACTGTTTGATACGTGTTTATATTCTCTTGCAGTTATGGTGATGTTAAAATTAGGAATGATTGTTTGATGTTAATCATATAAGATTAAGGTGTATTAATGTTTATATATTGTCTTTTGCTGGTTTTAAATACTGCATTACTGTAAAATGATACAATTCTGAAATCATCTGTAATTTTTTCACTTTCTTGTCTTGTGGTACTAAATTTTATTGTCAATTTAACACTACAGAGCGATTACAATCAGATTTCTGTCAGAATGATCTATAAAGTATGATTTTGTGACTACATTACATCCTATTTTAAATGTAGCTCCAGTTTGTCTTTCCCTGGAGTCCAGTGTGACGTAAATCAGACAGCACAGTATACAGAGTGTATATCAATTTACTATGGGGTGTTTTACACCGGTTTTTTGGTGGCAGCATATTTACCTTGACCTGCATGTTGGGCTGAAATCCATCCAGCTGGTTAAGCAGCTCCAGCATGGTCCTCTGCACCTCTCTGTCTCCTGCCTTCTCGCTGTCAAACCTCTTGGTTCCGATGGCGTCCAGCTCGTCGATGAAGATGATGGATGGGGCTTTTTCTTTGGCCAGGGCGAAGGCGTCTCTCACCAGCTTGGCTCCGTCTCCGATGAACATCTGGACCAGCTGTGGACCGGCCAGCTTCAGGAAGGTGGCCTTGGTCTGAGCGGCGCAAGCTCTGGCCAGGAGAGTCTTCCCTGTGCCAGGTGGTCCATACATCAGGACCCCTTTAGGTGGCTGGATACCCAGGTTTTCAAACTTCTCCTTGTGGTTCATTGGCAGAACTATGGCCTCCACCAGCTCCTGGATCTGTTTATCCAACCCTCCTATATCGCTGTACTGCTCTGTGGGGCGCTCGTCCACCTCCATGGCCTTGACCCTGGAGTCGTACTCGGTGGGCAAGGTCTCCAGGATCAGGTAGGAGTCTTTGTTGACACCCACCAGGTCTCCGGGCTTCAGCTTCTCGGCGTCCACCAGCCCGATCACCGGCAGGAAGTAGGTCTGTCGAGTTGAGGTCTTGATGACGGCGCACTTTCCTTTTCTCTGGGAGTCCAGGTCCACATTAGCCCCGTCCTCCTCCTGGTCGTTGGGGTCCACATCCAACAACTCGATCACATTAGACACCAGGTACGGCAGGGTTTTGTTCACCTTTATCTTCTCCGTGTTTTCCTTGATTTTATCCTTCATAGCCTGCAGCTCGTGGGTCACCCGCAGCACCTCGCTCTTCATGATCTTTATCTCGCTGTCCAGGAGCCGAGTTCGCTGAACTATCTCCTCTGTGGACATTTTTAACACTTCTTCACCGATGCCATCCTCCACCTCGTCCCAAACTGATTTGTCACTCAGCGACGCCATCTTTGCTCTGTCTGTGAGTGAACTGTGACACAGCGGAAAATAAATGTTCAACTTCCGGAAGCAGCCGGAGACGCTCGTGAGTGCCGAAGAAGAGAACCGAAGATGACACGAACCCGAGGCTGAATTAAATCTTTTTCTGTGCTGGTTTTAACTACGAGAGGGTGACTGTAAGTTAGCAAGCAACGTGCTGCGGTGCACTGGCAAATGGCAGAGTTATTTGGAGCTTATTTTAGCACATAAAGTCGCTGCTTTCACTGTGGCCACAGCACGTTTGACTTACGGCTGCATTAGCTACTGTAGCTAACATTAGCTGTGCGGCTAACTTCAGCTAGCCACTGTTTTGATGTGTTGCATTTAGGAGTCTTTCAAGACATTTTGTTGCAAGACTGCTTGTGCATGGATACATTTGTCAACCGTATACCTTTTAGAGGACACATCGTGCACATGGTGTCAAAATGAATGAACGGGCCGAAGTAACGCGAACAAACATGAAAGCTAAAAGTCGTAACTTAGTTAGCAAGCTGTGGATGTGTTGGCGCCACAGCGGCGGCTCCATGTCATTTGCAACTGCTTCACACAGCTTTGACGATGCACGGCGACAGAAAAATTAATAAAGTGATTGTCTGAGTTAATCTTGTTTCTGTCCTCCTTTTCAGGCACGACATAGCTTTCAGAGAAGAAGACACAACAAAGAGTGTCCCTGCAGTCCACTACACCGTGGTTTCTGTTTTTATTCAGCGCAGCTTTGAGGCACCTGCTGTGTAAAGTTATCTCAGCCTGTGTTGCCGCCTGCTCTTGGGTGGCAGTGAACCAACGTGAGGCGCTGAAGAGATGGATCAGAACAACAGTATACCAGCCTTCCAGGGGCTGGCCTCCCCTCAGGTACCACGTTAATAACAGCTTTGGTTAAAATATTCAAAATGAAAGCAAACTGAAACATGTGCTTACAATAACTTTACATTTATAAGTATCCTCTTATTCAGGGTCAAAACGTAGTACTACCATTATTTTTCACTGTGTTCCAAAAAGCAATTAGTGAGGACCAATGTGAAACAATCCTTTTTGTGATGTTGCCTTTAATGGCTGGACGTTATGTATTGTTAAAAGGAAAGGCATTATAAGCTGTAGCTTCAGCCTCCACATATTTCAGACTGCAGAAATCTTTGTTTTTGAATTTGTATATTTATAGATATCAATCAATTTCTTTCTTTTGCAGACAGAAATAAAATTGTTTTGTTTGTGTTGTTCCTAATGTGGTTCTTCTCAATCCCAACTTCATGTTATTTTGGTGGTGTCTTCTTTTGCAGGGTGCCATGACCCCAGGCATGCCAATTTTCAGTCCCATGATGCCATATGGTTCTGGCCTGACACCCCAGCCTGTCCAGAATACCAACAGTCTGTCTATACTGGAGGAACAACAGAGGCAACAACAACAGCAGCAGCAGCAGCAGCAGCAGCAGCAACAACAGGCGCAGCAGGCCAACACAGGTACAACACTCACTACTGTCCATCCTTTCCCAGCCATATGTCATTAGATCATAACCTCATATCCCTGGAACTGGTGTCTTCCCCATTTATTCTGAGAAAATAATATTTATCATCCAGTTCATGTTATTGGAAAAAAAAACTTTCTTTGGTCTCCAGGCCTTCCAGGTACATCGGGGCAGACCCCTCAGCTTTTCCATTCCCAGACAGTAGCAGGCTCCACCACCACAGCGCTACCAGGGAACACCCCGCTTTACAACACCCCGCTGACTCCCATGACCCCTATCACACCGGCGACACCAGCCTCGGAGAGCTCTGGAATAGTACCACAGCTACAGTATGTTTCATATCCATATCCATATAGTAAATGAGTATCATTATATGCCAAATGAGGCCATCACTCTTGAGAATCGTCTACTTAATACACACACGTTTCCCATTATGTTATGTTTAGTTTAGCTTACTGCTGTATTTTCCTGCAGGGGAAACACGAGTAAAGATCAAAATTATGATCAAGGTGAATCAAAATTTATTTAGACCCCAAATATAAATGTAGCTGACATTTTGGACATTACCAGAGGGTGTCCTGGTGTCATGCTTAGATATGAATGTTTTTTATTACCAAAATTTGACTGCATTGCCATTATTTCCACATAATTGAATTCGATTTTGAACTACTGACTTAACAGTTTTCCTTTATGCCTCTCTATCAATTCTCTGTGCTTTCCTTACTCTCCCTGCTATCAGAAATATTGTATCTACTGTAAATCTGGGCTGTAAACTGGACTTGAAGACCATTGCCCTGAGAGCCAGGAATGCAGAGTACAACCCAAAGGTAAGACTGCCACACAGTAATATGATCAGCTCTATATTACTCAAAAGCTCAACAATGTGGCTTCTGTTTTCTTAAGCTGCCATCAGTATGCTGTAAAAGTTACATGGAACGATTCTGATGATTCTCTGATATTTCTCTTAGAAATGTTATCATACCATCATTTCCTTTTATGCACAGAAATAACAAAACTGATGGACATTTCTGCCCTCAAAATATACTGGATATATTTATGCTAAACAGCCCACACAGCCAGTTAAAAGGAATCACTGTTATCATAACGGGAATCCTGATTGTCCTACTCCATGTAGCGTTTTGCTGCTGTCATCATGAGAATACGAGAACCCAGAACCACTGCCCTCATCTTCAGCTCTGGGAAGATGGTCTGCACTGGAGCCAAGAGGTCAGAATATAGTTTGTTTATTGACATTTCATGTGCTAAAGTTAATGATGAAAAGCCAGTAGAGTTGACTTTAGTAGGGATGATAAACCTTGTCAATTATGAGATACAAGACACATGCTAGCTTGCCTTTCTCCACCTTAATACAAGTCCAGTTTTCTTCTTCATCTTTCCCTGTAATCTGCCTCTCATCGACTCACCTCTCCAGTGAGGAGCAGTCGAGGTTAGCAGCCAGAAAATATGCTCGTGTGGTGCAGAAGCTCGGTTTTCCTGCCAAGTTCCTGGACTTCAAGATTCAGAACATGGTGGGAAGCTGCGATGTGAAGTTCCCCATCCGGCTGGAGGGTTTAGTCCTCACACATCAACAGTTTAGCAGGTGATTTTTGTCGTGTTTTTTATGTTCTGTGCAGCTAAAAGCCATAGTCACTCATTTCTAACCTGAACCTGGGATTGCTTGAAATTTATATGACTTTTAGCATAAATTTTACAGACAATATCCAGGTACTAATATCAGGCAGGCTTGCTGTATTTTTCTCACCTTAAAATTGTTTCTTAATGATTGATCTAGTTCTTGTCATGACTAAAGTAAAGTGACTTGTCTACTGCAGTTATGAGCCGGAGCTGTTTCCAGGGTTAATTTACAGAATGATCAAACCCAGAATCGTCCTGCTCATCTTTGTTTCTGGGAAAGTTGTACTCACAGGTAAGACCAGCTTCACCTCGCTTATTACTAGTTATAGATCAGAACTAGAGTTAATAATATTAGCTTATTGCAGATAAATGGAATGGAATCTGTGTATATATCAGCTAATAAGTAAAAAGAAATTGCATTACAACAATGTAAGACTAGGTTTGAGTTGATTTACAAACCATTATATGATGCATCAACTAGAGAGCTCTAAAAAACAAACAAAAAAACAGACATCTAAAATCTCAAAATTCAATAAAACTTTAAATAAATATCATCAAGACCATGATGTAACTGGGCATAGTAACTCGTTGTAGTTAATGACATCTGTTTTGTTTGTTGTTCAGGTGCCAAGGTGAGAGCAGAGATTTATGAAGCGTTCGAAAACATCTACCCCATCTTGAAAGGCTTCCGCAAGACAACGTAGGACCTGTGGTTCCTTCCTTTACTATCTCCCCAACCCTGTCTCTTTTTACTCGAACTTTTTTTTATTTCCATGGAAGTATCATCTATATGTTGACCTCTACAAGTGGACTGCTCTAAGGGCTTGTTGTACAGGGATGTAAATAAGTCGCTTTTTACTTTTCATCCCTCTGGTGATTCAGATTTTTTGGAGAAACAAACTTTTTAAAGGTCTTTTTTCTGTGTTCTGATCACACATGATGGTATATTTAAAACTCAATCCTTTCTATTTGTTTTTTCAGGTGCTTTAGTTTATGCCCCATTTTTCAGAATTTTTTGTTGCCCTATCACATCCCTGATTGTACATAAGACTGTAAGAAAATGTAAAAAGTTGCTGACTGAAAGAGAGGCGGGCTCACTGAGACTATTGCTGATTTTATTTTACGCAGTTTTAAATAGTTTTGTACATTGTATTTTTAGTAATTGTCAGCTTGGTCTCACAGTTATATGAACGTGTTTGGGTCTGTCAGCCCCACATTCCTATTACAGTATTATAAGAATATAGTTTCTCAAGTCTGCTTTTTGAGAGTTTTATCATTGTACCATGTACATTAAAAATCAGTTTATTCAGCATAGTCCTATTTTCAGAAATGCTGGAAGTAGATTTAACCTAAAATTACAAATTTCAATGTGAGGCATGGTATGGTCCAGTCTGTTAAGTCTGCAGTTACAAGTTGGATGCTCTTAAATTTTGAATTGAAAGAAGTTAAACTAAACTGATCCAAATCCTCCTGCTGAAGTTGTCAGCTAGTTGTTTGTTGGTTCTTCAAGGTTGGTATCACTTGGTTTTGGTTTCTGATACATTTGTACTTAATTCTCTGGAGTCAGTCTAAAAATAGTTTTCTGTAGAAACAGTTTACATGTCGTAAACAAGAAGTCTTTTAATGGTTAATCATATTATATATATTTCAACTGTAATTAAATGAGTCCAGCCTTTAAGGGAACAATGCTCTATAACTTCTTGAGCTAACTGGACGCCTTGACTGCAAGAGCAATCAGGATCAGACAATTAGACAAATTCCTCCAGAGCTAAAATAGAAAGACATGATACAGTCTTAGGTAAAAGTGGCCAACTACTTTATCTTGAATTCACATTCATTAGCACTAAAAGACAGTGTGATGGCAGATAAACTATGCATCATGTTGCCATGTTTATGTATTGTCCTTAAGTTTTTTTTTAATGTACTTTTTGGCCATTCAAAACTATATTTAAATGTTTTTCTTTGAGGAATTATTTTTGAATGTATGCAAATCGGTTGAATCTGGCTGGATCATCCTCGCTGATTGCTCAGCAACATACTTGGCCAAATGTCTACATTTAGATGAGTTTAAATTTTGGGCACTTGGTGTGTTTGTGTGGCACACAGGCGATTTCAACTAGACACATCCTTGAATGTAAAAGTTAAGCAATTAATCAATTAAAATTTTTGGATTCACAGTGCACTTGGTTTCCCACCTGTGTGTCTGCCACCTGACATCTGTAAGGACAACATATTAGTAGATGAGATGAGGTTAAATACTTAATGGTGTTTATTAATTCATTTCTCTGTAATTCTGAGCTTAGCAGCAGCCAGGCAGAAAACAAGGAAGCTCTGTCACATATAAAAGCAATTCTGCATCTGAAATTGTTAATGTGCTACACTGTGCATTAATAAATATGTACATACTGACTCTCCTGTTAAAGCTGCTTCCTTCACTACAATAACATTTTAACATGGATTAACGAATGGGCATACTGGGCACAGGGGTCCCTGGTCTTCACCTGCAAAATATGACAGAAGGAGCAAACAAAACAACCACAAGTCATTGTCTCTTTTTCAGCCTGGGTGTCTTGCTCCTACAGAGAACCTAGTTCACAGCTTGACTATAAAGATTGCTGTGTAACATTATTCAGCCAGTTCAGTGACTTCTGGAGCTCTTCTATACTTGTGCTACTCTTAAATTGTGTTTTGCATTTATCTTTATCCTGTAATTGCCGCTTGTTTTGTCATTGAAAAGTTACAGTCTGTCTTTAAATTTGCTAAATTAGTTACAACCTAATCAAGATTTATATGGACATAAATGTTTTTTACATTTAGCACACACTGGTTGGCCTTTGTCAGCTGACAGACTAGAGAGGGGTTGGAAGTGTTCCCTAAGTCGGAAACCAAACCACAGATTCTGATTATATCAAATGCACCTTAACCAGCCAGTCACCAGATACCACATACATCTGATTATTTGTGATTTATGTAACACTGAATTTAATTTATACCAGTTAGTTGCCATTGCAGTAACCTCAGAGAGATAGAATTGATCGACTGTCAAAAAAAAAAAAAAGACTTATACTGTGCTTTATGTTCATTTTCATATTGTCTTCGAAGCACTAAAAATGCAGAAAATGACATGACTTGGATAACTTTGTTAAAATCTTTATTATGTGATGATAAGGCACAAGCTCATATTGTTTTGCTCATTATCAGCACCAGTAGACCAACCTGAATAAACAGCATTTACAAGTGTTCTCATAAAAAGAAATTTGGCTCAAATTCAGACGGTGAATATCTGCCACCCAACAACATCTTCATTCTCCTTGTTACAGTCTCTGAGGAGTTTGATCCCTCAGTCGGCAGATTTTTACATTTGATCTGCGTATAATCAGCTGCGTAACAAGAACAGCAGCCGTGTCCAGTCCATTTAATGGGAAGTGACATTACTAGTGTGACTACACCAGTTTCCTCACTGCACAGTCTGAGCTGTTAGATGCACCAGACTGTCCTAAATTGCGCCCAAGCAGCAGGCTGATATCATGAGTGTTTATGCTGCTGACCCGTGCTGAAGTCCTGCTTCCAGATGAACTCGGGGTAGTAGTGGTTGTCCTGGTTACAGCTGGCAGAGCAGGTGTAGACGGCGAGTGTCCCCCAGTCGATACTGGCTCCTTTTGCATCCACACATAGACTGTTTAATAGCTGGGGCATCACCTACACACACACACACACACACACACACACACACACACGATAAGCACATATATTAGGCTCCAGCAGATGTAAACACTGTTCAACAACTGGACTGTTACCTGTGTGGAGAGACACAGACACAAATAGTCACATATAATCCAACAGTCTGGGTCATTTGGTTTTCAAGTGTGTGATTTTTAAAAATATCCCTCTGGGCATTTTTATTGAAATACACAATCAGACAATCACACGAATGATTTCCTGTTGGCAAGTTAACACTATTATTTATTTGAAGTTATTATCACGTATAAGATTAATAATCAGAGACATTTTCCTCTACTTGAGGCTGCATACAGATTATTCTTGTTCACAATGAACTGTGGGCAGAAGACACAGAGTGGTCCATGGAGATATAGTAACTGCATTTACATGTGAATTTTGATAAAAAATCAACCATTATTGTTGACAGACGAGGTGATGCTAGTGTAGCACATCCTGTACCATATCTGTAACATTTCCTCGGCTAAAAACCAGGTCTTGATCCAGTAATTCACTCCAAATAATAAAATACACTTTAGCGTAGCTTATATCAAAAATCAATTCCCATCAACAATATGTATACACACTTTTATATACTGGGCACACAATAGCACATTGGCATTCAAAACTGTGATGAGTGAGAAAATGAAAACTAGGGAAAAAGAAGATGGCATGAGAAGAAAGGAAACAACAGCAATGAGATGAAAGAACGAAAAACTCAAGTCTTTGATGGGTTAGATTACTGAGCATTTAATAAGCAGTGACTACCTGAAACTCAAAAGTCCTCTTGGCGCCACAGGTGCATGGTGGGATATCCTGATCTGAAGGGACGTGCTGAGGAGAGATCCATAGGGGAGAACCGCCTCGGCTGTAACGCACCACCTAAACATAACACAGCACTGTGAGGTTGACACAGAGGAAACAATCAGTGTAGACTTTTCTAACTCCACATCATCAGTGTGACGAGTGTCTCCGCTGGGGGTCTCTCAATGAAAACAACAACAAAGGACAGTGTTTGGTGATGTTGTAAAGTAGCATGGGATCATGGGAGTTGTTATTTTCACCCCCATTGCTGTCAGCTTCTCTCAGTTTGGATTCCTTCAGTGTCAGTCGTCCAGGAGGTTTTTGCTGGGAGCCAAATTACCTGCACAGGTCTCCTCCTCTCCACAACAAATAACGAGATAAACCACTGAATAAAGCAGTTTCACATTTAAAGTCAGTGATTCACCAACGCTGTACGGCGCACATGAAACGTCAGGGAAAGGGCTTGAAGCTGAAACTTCTAACCTTTGTTTTGATCGTTTCTCTGATAACTTTTAATCCAGACGTTCGGGAATTATCAGCAGAGGTGTCCTCCTATCCATAACTAATGTATCAGGGAATTAAAACCAGTAGAAACAGAACAAAGCAGTTTAACGTTAAAAATCGATGCTCTTCGGCGTACACAGGACAGCTTGGAGGGGCTGGGAGCTGAGCTGCCTAACATTTGCCTGGCTTTTTTCTGTGACAACTTAAGACGGACATCCAGTGACTGAAATCCTTCATGCGGTTTAAATACATAGTTGACCAAGGTGTAAAAAGTGTGTCTTAAAAATGTAGCTTAAAATTGGATTTTATTTAAGGATATGACACATGCGCATAGGGGATGTTATGTCACTGACAGGTGATCAAATGAAACAGACCCTTACTGTGATTAAAATCACAGATTTCTGTAGGTTTGAAATTGATGAAAACATTTCAGGTAATGTGAGTACACAATTCAAAAAAATATATAACATAGGTCTAGTTGCTTTTAGACATATTAATGTGGAAATGTTACATGTTATAACTTTAAGAGACCATAATTGTGTTCCAGTTCAGTTTTTCTAATTTTATTTATTTATTTTTTTACCTGGTGTGGTTCTGGTGCAATCTTCTTTTTAAATCTCTGCAACACTTTGTTGTCTTCAGTCTCACACATAGCCATCTCCTCCAGGTCTGTCTCTGCCAGCGCTGCAGAGAGAATAGAAAGTCTGGATAAATCCCTTAGAAAGACGTAATGATTAAAGAATAATAATCATAATCATTTTTCATACTGATTAACGAGTTATCAGAGCTGGAACTAAAACCTTGCATATTTGTTATGTTTCTGTATGACAATAAATGACTTAATGTGACCAGTGTGTCAGGCATAATTTAAAACGTACTGTCTGCTGAAGAGGGACAGTCTACACCTCTGTGAGCACCATCCCCTTTCTCCTCTCCTTCAGCCTCCTTTGTGTCTTCCTCCTCTTCCTCCTCTCCTTCAGCTTCCTTTGTGTTTTCCTCTCTCCCCTCTTCCTCCTCTTCCTCAGGCTCAGTGACCAGCTCAGACTCGGGGAAGAGGAAAGGAGAGGTTGTGACAATGGATGCGTCTGTACCGAGACAGACAAAAGACAGCACAGACATTTAGTCTCTCTAAACGTATGGCGTATTCATGTTGATTTTTGATCCCTCAACTGGGACATTTCACATTATCTTGATACTGGGTGCTGTAAAATACCATTCACAAATCCTCCATTCATGCATTAACAACTGAACTAGTGACACCATTACTGACAGGACTGTTCAGAAGATGGAGAGGAAACAATTTTTCCTTTTTTTGTCAATTTTTCACCCAGTGCATAACACACGCAGACACACCTTGGCTGCCACACTCCTTCTTGTGTGTCTGTTTCCAGTGGAGGGTCTGGTGGTGTTTTCCACAGTAGGTCACAATTTGACAGCGGGAGCAGGCTTTGTTGCCAGGGCAACCACACACCCAACACATTTTAACTCCAGAGACAGGCAGCACACTCTGGTTGTCTTCAGGATCGCTGAGGGGTTCATCCTCTGACAAAAAAAAAAAACAAACAGAGAAAAGAAAAAAAAAATCATGTCAGTAAATCAATCAATAACATGTCAGCAGAAAACAAGTTTCTTCAGGGTTTTGCAGGTACAGCATCGAACGCACTCGTCTCAATAACTGCAGTATGCAACCACAAATAGATGAATACATCATACAAAAGCCAAGCTACTGTTGAAACACATAAAAACTGACAACAAATCACAAATCTGAAAGAGTTTGAGTAAATATCATCTTTCCTATCACACTGCATCATGTTTATATAAGGTCTGCAAACATACAAATATAATGATGAATGTTGATAATTAGCAACTGATTACCTGCAGTGAAGTGCTGCAGTTTCATAAAAGCACAATGTGATTCTGAGCTATAGAGGAGCGCAGCATGTGTGAATTAAGTTCAGCAGATTCAAGCAGTTAGTCAACCTCTCTATATTACTTATGTTCAGACATGGAAAACATTTACATTTTGAACACATCTGCAATACTTCACATTATGGGGTTTACACTTTTTACTGACTTCCTGGCAAATGCACAAACCTGGTGGAGGGTCGTAAGGGTAGAACTCATTCCTCCTGGGTAGCTGACTTCTGAAAACTGAATGGAAAGAAAGAAAACTTGACAGAAATGCATCGAGTCTTGTTAAAAAAAAAAAAAAAATTAACGAATGCCCCAGAGAACAGACAAGAATGGTTTTAAAGTGAGGAAAGGGGTAAATGTAGGGAAGGGAGAATAATACAAGAAAGCAGAGCAAAGACAAAAGACTGAAGTGCTGTTAAGTGGGGATGCAAGTACCGATTATTATTCATTATCGATTAATCTACTGATTATAATCTAGATTAATCGATTATTGTGAGATCTATATAAAAAAAATACAAGTCTGTCACAGTTTCTTAAAGTCCAAGGTGAAATGATGATTTGAAATGATGACTTGATTTTGAAAATGGCTGATGATTAATTTTCTGTCTACTGACCAATAGATGAATTGATTAATTGCTAATTAATTTAGCTCTTTTTTTTGGTGAGCAGTCTCTTCTACTATCGTGCAACAACACAGATGACAAATGACAAACATAAAAGCTCCAACAATGGTTTCAGGTACCTTTCATACAGCGGCTGTCGTTGTGTGTGTAGCACTCAGGAGTTCTGCAGCAGAACAGAAAGAGTGTTCTGTGGAAACTCCTGTCCTGACCAGACACTGGTGCGTACACCTGCAGCAGAGATGGAGAGGGTTGACTACACAGGATGTCACAGGTGAGTCTGTGTTTGTTACATGGAAGTTAACTCAGTGTTAAATCTGCAACACAGAGTTGTTGTCAGTCAGACACTTTCTGGGAGGTGATCCACTGACACTGAAACTGTCAACCAGTGCTCAATTTGTGGTAACTGCATCCACACCGACATGAATTTGACAATATCCCCATATTTTAAAACTGACCACCACATTATGCGTCCAAAAGTCCAGCTGTTCACTAACCTGGAGCAGAAAGGCCATGGGCAGGCGGCATGTCTCACACTCCAGCCCGGGCAGTGAGGGCAGGCCTTTCTGGCTAAGCCACGCCGGCTTCCCCCCGACTTTACTGGGGAACTGTGGGGATCGAAGCCGCCACGGCTCCGCCTCCTCCAGGAAACCCAGAACCACCTCCGCTGGAGACACGTTTGTATCGCGGGACATATTATAGCGGAGGTTGTCTGTCTGTCCAGTGAACAGGCTTTATTTAAAATACTAATAACTATCTAGTAGAAGAGAAGACTCTCTTAATCCTATCACAACACATGCAAGACTGGTACATTACTGAAAAGCGTCCGTGAGGAAACAAACACAGACCAGCCGTTCTTTGGTTCCGCATTCCTCGCTGCTGCTCCCACTGTAGAGATATTATGGTATACACTAAAATGCTCTTCTAAATTTATATGATGTGTGATATAATGTCAAACTGTATATTTTGGTAACGTGCCTGAAACTCAGATACCCCTAGAATATTGTTTTTTTTAAAACAAGGTTTTAATTGTATCTATTAAGTGTCGTATTTCTTTTCACTCACTAGATGGCACAAATGTCCTGTCTGTAGTCTGTTCAAAAGTTTCAAAAGTCAAATTAAATCTAGTGGTACTCTATGATACTGAGGAAAGTAGGTGCATTTTGTCAAGTACAGTACACTTTTGAGGAACATGTATTTTGCTTGAGTATTTCGGTTTTATGACACATTTCAGAGGGGTTTATTGTGTTTTCTACTCCACTGCATGGCTGGGCTAGACTCAGTGTCATTTGGATCTGGGTTTGATTAATCCCAAATTTGTTAGAAATTTGAATTCCATCCTCTTATAGCCTTGTCTTGAAGAGGGACTGTGTTAAATCTAGTTTTAAGATCTAAACTTGTTGAGTTCACTTGTTAAAAGTTTAGTTTTTTATCAAACAAATTTTTCTGGGTCAAGTAATCAACACTCTACGAGCCAGGTCGTATTATTTCATCATAAGAGAACTGTCAGGCCAACAATTATTTTCATTATCAATAGGTCTGACAGTTATTTTCTTTAATAACTGATTGTTCCTTAAGTCTATAAAATGACACAATATAATGAAAAATGCCTGAACCCCAAGTAACATACTAACTAACATATTCTAACTTCTTTTTTTGTCTGTCAAAACCCCAAAATGTTGTGTATATAATATAATATAATATAAGCTTGTTGCATAGTAACACAAAACCAATCTTTCCCAGTGCAGAGATGGTATGATAGGATGTTGAGAAAGGAACAGGTTTTTAAGATAAAACAGGTATGAAGAAAAAGTCACCAAGCTGCAAGAGAGAAAATAAAAGCAAAGTAAAGGCATGGAAAGGTTGAAGGAAATGGGATGAAAAGAAAAATAAGTTTATCAGAGTAGCAGAACATCCACCACTCAGTCACTAAATTAACATTAGAAACACGATCTCTTATTATTATGATAGGTTTGATGACTCTCTCTCTCTCTCTCTCTCTCTCCCACACACACACACACACACACACACACACACACACACACACACACACACACACACACACACACACACACACGCACACACCGTGATGTCATTTGAGCAGCTCTGTGCTCTGGATGACTGGACGGACACCGGATAACTAGCATTAGCTGAATCCCTGCTCTTGTAATCGGACTTTAAATTATATTTAAATCAACCACGAAGCTGACAGTGGACACAGTCTCAGTCTGAGGATGTTCGGGGTTTACAGAAGTTCAAACTTTTGTAATTTAACCATGGAAACTAAAAAGAAGTGGACAGCGGCGACGACAACAAAGTCAGTTGACAAACGGCTGTGAAGATAACGGACCAATGGACAATGTGAGAGCTGGACCAAACTGGGACTGAATCTGCTGCCTGGGTCTCCTCCAGCTTCAACTCACCCTCCTCTCCGCGCCAAATGCCTCCGCGGGGCGATGGGAGCTACAAGCCGGAATCTGTGTCCCCTACTCCGCCTGTCCCACCGAGGAGGGTCCGGAGCCGGGACAGGGGCTCCGGCAGGACGCGGCGGTCCGGGGCAGGGGCAGCGGAGAGGCGGGTGAAGTGTGTGCTGGTGGGGGACGGAGCTGTGGGGAAAACCAGCCTGGTGGTCAGCTACACCACAAACGGCTATCCCACCGAGTACGTCCCGACCGCGTTTGACAACTTCTCAGGTAAAGGATGGAGGAGACACACTGTACCTCATTTATCAACGAGTTTAACTAAAAACATCAAGTGTAATAGGCTATAGCCCATTATTCCTCTTTATGAAATGTGTGAGTGGCTATGTGGTTGTAAAGTATATTTTACAGAGTGAAATAGACCTCTATTGCAGACCAACAATCAATAAGTTTTTGATTCATTTTTCCATTTATCAGTCATATAGATGTCAAAAAATAAAGTCTATTTTACATTGGAAGTAGTTCATCTGAAGCCGGATTATTTCACACAACCATCTCTTTCAATCGTTCACCAGGAACTGATAATGTTAAGCCAACTTGATAAATAATAATGAAAATGAATACTTGGCAAAATTGGAATAGATTATTAAAATGGAATAGCCATGTGAACTTTATAGGAGTCACATATTTAGCAGATTTGGTTTTAGCAAATTGTAACTCCAAATTACCAAATGTGACCTTTATTACCACTTTACTCAGTGGAAAGCTACACTACACTTGTTATTGACCTTATGGTGTGTGTGTGTGTGTGTGTGTGTGTGTGTGTGTGTGTGTGTGTGTGTGTGTGTGTGTGTGTGTGTGTGTGTAGCGGTGGTGTCAGTGGATGGGCAGCCAGTCAAACTACAACTCTGTGACACAGCTGGACAGGTCAGTGATCTCAACACACACTCAAACACACAGAAAGAACATTTCCTGTTGTTTCATTTAGGCTGGAAACAATGCCTCTTTCTTTCTTTATTTCTTTCATTCTTTCTTTCTTGGGCATTTTTGCCTTCTTTTAACAACTGATAAGGCCACAAAAACTTTGTAAATTGGAACCAAAATTGTTATTTTTCGAAACATAAGTTCACACAAGTTTTGTTGCTCTATCCACATCTATTTGCTGGTCACCATTTGACTGTGTACAGCAGAAGAGAATCTAGTTTAACCAATATGGAGTCGATTACTGTAAGCTCTAAACTCCAGGGGCTAGAGGATAATTGGTACACAGACTAAGATTAGTTTTACAGTGGATATCTCACTTAAATTCAGTGTCTAAATGGGCTCAGTCTTTGTCCAGGAAACTAGCTGTTGGTATCTGGTAGGTCTGTCCTAAGAAAGATTCTCTGGCAAAAGAAGTGATGCGGTTGTGTCTACATTTGCAACAGCTGTTGATGTGAAAAAAATAGTTGTAGACCTGTCAAGTTAGGATGAGTTACAACTGGTCAGACAGGGAGTATATAAACACACACAAGTAGTTCACTGGTACTGTCAGATAATGTACTTCACCTCATTGATAAGGATAACAGCCGGCCCGTGAGCTCCTGTGGGTGTCTCTGTGAGGGAACAGCTGCTCCAGACACAAACAATGGAAATTGGATTTATGAATGAAAAAACAATAGACATTGCTATAAAAATGCTATTAAAATTCATATTTAGCAGTTGGTCAGCAATATGTCGTGTTAAGTCCAAGAACTTGTGAATAAAAGATGTCACAAGCCTAAATAAAGAAGTAATTGCTTTTGTCGTCATCTTCTGTACCATTGGGTTCTCAGATATGAAGACAAAATGAATGGGAGGATCACAAGCAGAGGAGTGATAGACTGGGAGAGGAAGGGATAGAGAGAAAGTCAGAGGGGAGAAACAGACCTATCTTCGTAGTTGATTATCATTTAGCAATAAACAGATCACTCAGTGTCACTAGACAACACCTCTTCCTCCTCTTACATGTCCACACACCAAAAGAGGAAGCAAGGTCTCAAAAGTTGGCACTCCTGCTCCACTGGTGGGACTAAATCTGAATCTGTTCTGTTGCTTCCTCTTCTTTGAATTTATAATCACTTTTTCTCACTCCACCTTTCCTCTTCTCTCCAACTCCCCTATCTAACTTTACCAGGACTGACAGGACACATTATTAATTGTGCTGCAATTGTGTCACGCCTCTTCTTGTTTGTCTGAATGCACTTGTAGTCATAATTTGTTGGTTGGTGAATTACTGTATTTATCTCATTGTTTTCAACACTCTCATGGACGCCTGCTCTCTCTTGATCTCTCCCAACCATCCCAGGACGAGTTTGACAAGCTGCGTCCTCTGTGTTACACCAGTGCAGATGTGTTCCTGCTGTGCTTTAGTGTCGTCAGTCCCGCCTCTTTCCAGAACGTTCCTGAGAAGTGGGTCCCAGAGATCCGGAGACACGCCCCATTCGCTCCGCTTGTACTCGTTGGGACGCAGTGTGACCTTCGAGAAGATGTCAAGGTGTGGTAAATTTGCTCTGTGCAGCATTTTAACATGTCTATTTCTAATGTTTGCTTTGATTCTTAGACATTCTTATCAGCATGTAGAAAAATCATCCAGACAATCCACAAACTAACTGGCAGCCCCATTAATTGCAAGAAATCAAAGGGATTGCTTTATGGCACAAAGAAATACAGCAGATTTTATAGTAAAGCAAAGGATGAAAGACGCTGCTTTTCCAACACAAACATGTAATGTTAACTGAGTTTCTCCCGTTTGCTGATGTTGGTGAGAATTAAAGTTGCACTGAAAAGTACTCTCCCAACATGTTTGTTTCTTTTAAGTAATGACAAACAGATAAAAACTTTTTTTTTTCACCTGTGCTTTCACTACTGTGGCATGTGAAAATGTCTACTTCAATTTACATTGTGTAGCACTTTAAACAATATCATTCATTTAAATGTAAAAGTGGAAACAAATGAAAGCAACACTTCCAGTCATCCATGAACAAGGAGATCCCGCTGTTCATATCAGGGCTGTTGAACAGCTGTGCTCTCTCTGATCTTATGGAAAACGTCCAGTCACGCTCTTAGAGGACGTCTGTGGCTGTTACTATCTCATTGTTCTGGATCCTTCTTACTGTCTTGTTACCTTAGTTAAGCTAATGCTCACCTGTAAATCACATGGAGTCTGGACAAAGATGCCAGAAGAAATCGAATTTTTCATGAATTGCAAAGAAAAGAACAAATTGTTTTGCCAAAAATTCCAATGTTTTGACTGTTTTATGATTTTTAATTAAGTTTTATTGTGTAATTGACTTGTGACATTTTCTTTACATAGAAGGTGTAGCTGTTTCAATGGTGCAGCACATAATGAAGATACAAGATCTTTGCAGGATACTTACCAAATACTCAAAATTAATATTTAGAAAATTGTAATCGGTGAAAAACATTACAGGCACATTTTTCTTCTCTCCTTGACTAATACTTTGGAAATTCTCAATATGTGACCTAAAAAAGTGTTGCTTGTTTAGGTTCTCATTGACCTGGCTAAGTATCGGGAGCGGCCGGTCGACCCGGTGGACGCTCGGGACTGTGCGGTGGAGATTGGAGCTGTGGCCTACATGGAGTGCTCCTCTCTGACCCAAAAAAATCTCAAGGAAGTGTTTGACACAGCCATATTGGCCAGCCTGCAGAACTACAGCTCCCAAAAGCACCCGAGAGGGAAACAAAAACGACGGAAAAAGCAAAGGCAGACACCGGACAAGATGAAGAGTCTGTCAAAGTCCTGGTGGAAAAGATATTGCTGCGTGGCCTAGAGCAGGCCTGTGATTGGGTCTTGCTATTGTTGCGGTCTAAGATTCTGATCCTCTGTTGACTTTATCCTGGTCTGGATTCAGCTGGGTTTGGGTTCTGCCTGGACTCGCTTTCAGTTTGGGTGTCTCTCTAATGGAGCCTGATGTTGAGCAGGACCTCGACTGGAGTGTGGCTGAGAACCAAAGTAAGACTGTCATGGATCTAAAAATGTTTTTGTTTTTGTTTGGAGAGGGGTTTTAGTCTTATCACAGATGAGATTTACTACTGAGCCCAGCCTGGTTCCAGCAGAACCTGCTCTGAAAACCAAGCAGTTCTGCTGTGTCTTATAAAGAACCAGGTGTTTTTGTGCTTAAATGTCCTTTTTCTAACCTGATTTTAATCTTAGCCTGCCTCCAGTATGAGCTCTCGACAGGATAAGGTGCTTCTTGCTCTTCTGGTATTAAACTGGTAAAAACCTTCCCAGCCTAGTATGGATTTATGTAGCCTTGTTATGTAGCCTGGAAGGGACCTGGACTGCCTGCAGACTATAAATGGTGTATAAATGAAACTGCATTTAAACTTAGTCATTTTTCTAACTTGTCTCTAACTTTAGTCTGGTTTCCAATACTCATGGTTAAAAATAACTGCTGACTGAAATAGAGCGGCTCTCCGACCAAACCTCGTCCTTATTTACATAAGAACACGGGACCAGAGCTGATCATTTCATCACTGGACATGATTTAAGTCAGAACGTAGTCAAAAAGTCCAGCCCATGGTCAATTTTAGAGCTTCTTTTTTTTATAACTGGGGTTATTGTTGTTCTAATGAAAGAGCTTCCTTCATTAAGCAGCAAATAATTTTATCCTGGTCACATGCACAGTTTACTGTGGTGCAGCCTACAAACCTAATCTGGAACCTGCATCATGGTTTGTATTTCATTTTTAGTCTGGATCTGTACTATTTATGGAGTTAGGTCTGGCTTGGTTATCAGTGGGTTTATTTTTCATTGTCCTGCCACTGTGAAGCCAGACAGTGAATACGTTTGGTCATGCTCAGAGTTTGGTCAGATTCATATCACATCTTATTTGGAAAAGATTTCCAAAGATAACTGGGCAATGTAACCTACAACATATCTTAGTACTAGCTAAGGATGCTGAACATGCCAAGACTTTCTGAATATCCATGTGATTAAAACACAAGCATTGTTCTGTAAAAGCAAGTTGGACTTTTACCCAAGAAGACACAACATTGTATCTAGGAGTCAGTGACCTGCTTCAGGTTTCCACCAGTAGCTGTTAAGTAGTAGCTAGTTTATCGTCCTCGTCTATCCTACATTAGTACTGAAGGACTGTACAGTCTGTGAAAATGGACTGGTACCAATGTGGCTTGGTTACATAGGAATCTTTGAACCACGAAGGTTGCCTTTGTCTGGCTAGCACTTGATCTTAATGAGACATGTTGCTGTTTTAGCGTTTTGCTCATGCCAAAGTTGTGGCTTGTGGAACCATGTGATCACATGGTTCCACAAGCCACAACTTTGCTCAGTGCAGTAGCCAGGTTACTTATCTGCAGCACCCTTTTCAGATGCAAAGAAGACCGTCTAAAACTGAGAATATCAAGATTTGAGTTTGAATCATTCATCCTGTCAACCAGTAATTTACTCAGATAATTGTACTGCTTGGTGCATGTTTGATTTATGTTTCCAGCTACTAAAACAGCCTCAAGTGTGAGCACTTAAGAGTTGGAACAACCAAGTGCTCTCTGCATGTGTTTGAATTTACAAAATGGGCTCAGCCTTTTGTTTCTGAAGAAAAACTAAAATAAACAAAGTCGGGTTTTTTCTTAGCTTTCCAGCGCAATTGTGTATGTAAGACTGTGAAGTTTGAATTATTTACGTATTCAGCGAAATCTTTTGTTAGTAGTTAAAAACTATAGTTTGATTCATAATGTTTGTTGCTCTGTATTTGCTCCCTTTATCCAGAACTAGATCTTCCACTTTATTACAGTGGCCACCATGGATTATTTCTACCATTCTGAGTCCATGCTGCGTTCATACTACAGAGACATCCATTGTCCATCCTATGTCTACTGTACACTCTGTTAGTTCTGCAGCTGCCTCTGCAGCCTCTTCTCTCTCCAATAGATCAAGTTTTATATGTTGTAAAGCAGAAATAAAAAGGCAAACTGAAACACAAGATGTGTGGCTGTCAAATACTCAACTGCCACGCCTTCCTTTGTACATTGTAGTTACTAAAACAAGAACAAAACCCAATCATTTAAAACTATTTCTCTACAGTTCCTACATCTGAATGGCCCTTTGTATTAGAGTTGCTGCAGCAGAAGGAAAAAAGGGTGCAACCAGGTTGGAGTCTGTAATGGACTGAAGAAGATCCACTGTGGTTTAGTACATATCCAGCATAATCATTCATATTAATCAGACAAAAATGCAAAAATGGATTTTCACTTTTGCATTTCTTAAAAAACAAACAAAAAAACTAGAAAAAATGTAGACCTTTGTGTGACTAGTAACACAGAGTTTATAAAACTCTAACGGTTCAGGGTTAACATCTGTATCCACCTCACACCATTTCATTTGACAACTAATATTGTGCTGATTTTGCTTGAAGTAATCAGTGATTTTAACTCCATGTGTCTGATAATATCCCTTTAAAAGTCAACAATAACCTTGATCTGGAGAGGATTAGTAAATCCTGGCCTAAAGGGGAGGGACATCTCATTTTCTCAGTGTCAAATCAATGTTAGTCCAGAGCTTAAGGAGATGTGAACCCTGAGCTAACAGGAATCTTATCCCAAGATTAATTATAGTGTGAAAGCCCTGAAAAAGTGCAGCAGTGTTCTGAGTATATTTTTTCCCTTAAGTGTAACCTTGTGCCATCTTCTAGTGTGTGCTTCAAAGTTGGTTCTCTACTGGTGTGAAATGGAGTGAGCAGTGGTGTGCCTTAAAATTCAATTAGTATTAATTCCTTTTATATGTAACTTTTGTGAAGAAACTGTGCTAGTTAAAAAGTAACTTTATTATAAGATTCAGGTTTTTTTCTAACAAACTGATTTTCTTTTCAGAAACCACATCTGTGGATCATTTTCACCCGGTTAGTTCACCAATCTCTTTTAAACGTTACTGTTATGCTCTACCAATACTCTACAGCTTAATGTTGGTACCAACATTTGGTTTCTACCCCAAAAATGTCAAACCCAAACTGATCCTGATATTGTTTTGCAATCTGGCAACAAGCTGTGTATTAATGACAGTATTTACAGTGTTGCTCTCCAAGACAAATCTGAGAAAATGTATCAAATTGAACTGTCTGCTTATGTTGAGTTTAGGCCTCAGTGTAAAGCTGTGACTCCTGATTGCAGGACTGTGCATTTCTGGAGCCGTCTGGTAGTTTTATGCTGAAGATGCTACAACTGCGACTGAATGGGCTCACTGTGTTGATGTTTTACTCATGATAGCAAATGTATTGTTTCTTACTGGGGAATAGGCATAATAAGTTACTTGTCTTGCTGTTTGTCTGCAGCCTTGGGCGATGGTGGATTTAAGTAGGCTAAAGGTCACACAGACCCTTATGATAGCTGGCACTTCCTCTGTGAGGTTTCACCAGTCTTCCATTTTTAAATTTACAATTTATAGACAGCATAGTAAGCTTCTCTTCACTGTGAGTTATCCTGCATGTGATTTAGGCCTGCATTCATACTGAGAAAAATATAAACCCGGGTTGATTTATTCCTATTTGAGTAAATTAAAACAGCATGAATAACATTTGGGTTTGTTGCTGTTCAATTAGTCAACAATGACTTGCATGAGTCTGACAAGGACACATAAATTAGCTTATGATCCTTTAAAGTGAGTAACCTTTTTTGAACAGCATCCACTCTGGCCATGTGCTGAAACGTAGTTTAACAGTAACACAACTAGAGAGGAGTCATAAAGCCAGCTAACTGACTCAGTAATGTTTCTAACTGAAGTAAACAAACATCAGCTAACATGAGCTACCAAATCTACTGGTCATACCAGACCAAGTAACAGCAAAACCCCTGAGTGTATTTAAGTGAACAGTGGTGCACGTTTTTGCTCACAAATTCAACTTTTCATGTACAAGACCGAGATTGTCACACAGTCTCACTTTGATGTTTCAGGTTCTTTTAGGAGCCAGAGTAAGCTGGTTGATCTTCAGCAGGATGTGTCTTGTATGACAGATATATGGTTTTGTAATGTGGAGCAGATGGGTCTCTGAAAGTGAAATATCGTGTGTAATGAGAAGACATGATGGTGACTGTCCACTAGGTAGTCAGAGTGTTGTGCTGTAAACTTGGCGTTTTGTTAAGGTAAGACAAAGTGTTAATGTCGCGTGTTTGGGACAAGTGCAAAGTCTGTGCTTTAACTTGCCACAAGGAAATGTACTGGTGATCTATTTGAGTATAATGACAATGGCTGGCTGTGATTTGTGTGATTTATTTCGTATTGGAACAGGCTCTCAAACTGCCAAAAAAGAATAAAAGATAGGGTTATTAATAATTATCTGTACTGATTCAGTATGATGTAGTGACTCATATTTTGGATGTTTAGAGGACAGGTTCGTGCATGCCTACGTGCCACATATATCCCTTAAAGCCCGGTGGGTTTAAACAACAGGAGACAGCCGGGGGAAATGGACAAAATGGTTCATTCTTGAGATTTAATAAATTTTTCATTGAGGCTGATACCCCCTAAAGCACACCTGATCTCACTCACATGGGACACCAGCTGAGAACTTCTCTTAGGAAACCAACCAGCTCAGCCTGTGTGAAACATCACTGTGTTTTTATTTTTCCTCAATATAAAAACATGGTAAGAGATAATATACTATTGCAATCTGCTCACACTGAATTCTCTGTTGAACCGAGGACGTCAGTCAAAGGAACATGTGTTTGTACAGAAGTTTTATACCCTGAGAAATAAAGAATATTTGGTTTAATACATGCTGTGTTTTGTTGATTTTGAGGCTTGGTGCTCAGTGGTGGGACTGGGAATGTGTGCTTGTTTAGATATAACTCCTGGACATATGTAACCTTGTACCTTGACCATGATGTCACAAAAACCAACAAGCTGTAAATGAGAATGTTTTTAAGTATTCATGAGTACACAGAGTTTGTCTGTATCACATTTGTACATTTCTGTGTCTGTTCACCAAAACAATTTCATGAGTTTTATCAGAGAAGAGATTGTAAATAATCATCAGAATGGTCAGCAGCAGGATGCAGGTACAGCACTCTTGGATGTTTGTTTTTTAGGACAACACATGGCTTTTCTTTGTTGCTCGGGCGCCAAATTGGATGTGTTTTTTTCATGTTGTTGTGGCTGAAGTAATGTTTTGGAACTGCACAGCACACTTTGTGATAACCAAGTGCAACAGCCATGCTGTGCTCAGCTGATGCACATCAAGAAAGGGGGGATAAGATGTGAGCGATGTTTGGGGGCATGGAGACACACTCACATTCTCACACACACACACACACACACACACACACACACACACACACACACACACACACACACACACACACACACACACACACACACACACAGTGCGCCCACAGAAAGTCATCCAGCTTCACACTGGATCATTGTAAACAGACTCTCTGCCGCTTCCAGGCCCTCATGGTTATGCAAGAGCTTTATTTTGAAGGCCATCATGTGACATTTGGTTAGTGGCATGTCTCTGGTTCTGGAGGCAGTGTCTGTGAGTGAGTGAGTGTGAGAGTGAGAGTGGAGGTGCCCCAACTTTAACTCTGTGTGGGAAACAAACTGATTTGTTCTACCTGACAACACAGAGTAAGTAAATTAACTGCTCTGTGAGTTATGCAGTGCCAGGTCCTGTTTGATGAAATTGTTCTCATCCATGAGCGGGCCAGACACTGACTGATACCAATCATGGCTTATCCCCCAAAATGTAACATCTTGAATTAAACTCCGTTGGGAAAAGACACCAGGAAGACTGTAAATGTTTTAAATATGCCACTATTCTCTTATTGTCTTAGTGTCTGTTACAGTTTAGTAATTTCAGGAACCAAATGCAGATGAGAACACTAGTGGGCAGCTGCAAAAAATGTAATTTGATAACAAAAATACAGAAAAAAATTCAGAATACTGAACAGAAGCAGAGCAGACAAACTGACAGAGAGCACGGGGAAGACAGAGACTTAAATACACAAGGGAGGCAGGGCTGATTAGACACAGGTGAAACACATCAGGGTGGGGCAAACAATCACAGAAGCGGGAAACTGGACAAAGACAGGAAGTAGAAGAAACAGTGGACAAACAAGGTGAGGATTTTCAAAATAAAACACAAGAAAACAATAGTCCAAACATAAAGTCCATACACAGTAATTTTAGGGGAGGAAAGATTAAACAGTCCAAACAAAGTCACTATGTGGGCAGATCATGACAGTCTCCAGTCAGCAGATTTTCAGTTTTGACGTAATGCTTTTTATTTATGATCCAAACCTCACAAGGCCTTTAACAACTGATTACGTAATAACAGCATATAATGAAATATTGACCTAAAATGTAATAAAATGCTCCCCTGGATAGGTTTTAAATCTAACTGGCCTATTAATGAACCATGTCATAACACTGTGAGACTGTGCAGATGTCGACACAGTCTAATGCACCACTACGGAAAGTCTTTATCAGCTGTAAACACATGTAGCACCCAAATGAACCTCGACTCGAGATGTCTAGTTTTCTGTTGGTGCCAACATCATTAAGTGAAATTAGGCCCTAAAAGTCCTTGTAATTCCAGTTCAAAATGGGGTCCAAAGCTTTTTTTAACCATGTCATTATATCATGTTGTTCAAGTTTCGTACTTGCCACAATTTATTACGTTGCAGTTCTATCAAACACAGTTACTCAGACAAGTGTTTTATTATCACGGTGCTAGAGAGATGCAGAGGGACATAACCTCTGAGAAAAATGTGTAACACACAGGATATTTATGTTTAGCCAGTTGTTGCTCACATACACACAAAAGAAAAGCTGCCAGTCCTCAAGGCACTGGTTTGAAGTTTAGTTCCAGATCATTTTATAATTTTATAGCCACTCTTCGTGTCTCAGTGTCTCAGTGTCTCAGTGTGAGTGTGTGTGTGTGTGTGTGTGTGTGTGTGTGCACTCTTTGTGAGGACGTGTTTGATTTAT